CATCAATGGGTTTACGGTTTAGGCCCTACTTCATTCAAAAAGAAGATGACGACGAGAAAGAAACAACGTGCCTTTCAAAAACAGGCAGTCAGGTGCATTATAATTGCACCGTAAGACATTTTAAGAAATTATTTTAAAAAATAATAACAACTAAAAAATAATTTACAAAAAAAGGAAGGTATGAATAAAGAGACAGAGAGCAAGAGAGCGAATAGGGGGAGAAAGAGACAGAACGAAGCTAGAGAGAGACAGAGAGAAAGAGAAAGAGCTGCGCTACAGAAAGAGAGCAGAGCAAAGAGAGAGACACAGAGTTGCACTAGAGAGAGAGAGAGAGAGAGAGAGAGAGAGAGAGAGCTGCGATAGACAAATACCAAAGAGAAAGAGAGATGTGCTAGAGAGAGAGCTGAGTGAGCTAAGAGAGAACAAAATTTCTGAACATGTGTAAAATCAGCAATAAGTGGACAATAGTTATATTTTTATAGGTGATATTGTAATACTATTGCTATCGTATTGTGGTTATATTGCTCTAATATTGCCTCTATAGTGTACATATATTGACCTAATATTGCTATTATATCGTATGTCAATGGCCATTTGGTCTAATAACAGTCTCCACTTCTTTAAAAGTAATCCTGAATTCAAATCTCAAAGACATGACAATTGTTATCCATCCTTATATTAGCATGAATTGATGTTGACCTTTGAAATGATAGTTGGAGTTGCACATCGATTCATATTCAAAAGGAAAGTAATTCTCTCCCTCAATGAATCTTCGTTCAAAAGAAGGCAACTATCAAATATTGGGTACAAAAATGCAAGATCCACAGTAAATTAATTAGGCACAAACCACATATTACAAAACCAGGATGATTTTTGGCATGCTTGAAAAGACAACGGCCAAATACAACAGAAAAGAAAATCCATTCAAGCTTCTCACTAAACATGGCCCAAGCACTCGACCATGGTTTCAATCCAAACCTACCCAACAAGGGCATACCACGTGTCCATCGTAACAGAAGAGTGGCATTTACAAAGCATGAACTGCAATATGTTTCTTTTTCTCCTAAACAAAATTGTTACTAAAATGGAACAAAAGATCCCTAACATACAGCAATACAAGCAAAGATAGTCAACTGTCATACACACAAAATTAGTCCTCATCCATCCCTGCAGGCTGATCTCTCTTACTAGGGCCACCTGTTGGTTTTGCCATTATAATCTGCAAGATAGTCAAAGCACTATCAACAACCTTTTTTTAATGAAGGTATTAAACATTAAATAGGCTGCAATCAGATAGATTCATCATTTCTCACACATTTTTAGCTAGCCAGAAAACCCCCAGCATATAGATTTTCTATTTACTATCAAGCCTTCTGCACTGAAGCCATATTCATTATAAAAGTTCAACATTTCCCAAAAGTAACTTTCAATTTTATTTTATTTTTCCAAGTTAAAAACTAACATTTGCGACCGTTCATTGGAGATCAAATGAAAGATTGGCTGGATGTTTCTGTATAAACTTGCAGGCAGTTAATGGGTGAAGAACTTTCTGGTTTGAGTGCCAAAGATCTACAGAGCCTGGAAAACCAACTGGAGACAAGTTTGAAAGGTGTCCGGATGAAAAAGGTGCCTAGTCCTGATTATATAGTCTCAGTTACTACTGTCAAGATCCCTTCTTTATGTAGCACATGCATGACACTCAGTCATTTTTCTGCAGGACCAGATACTAAATGATGAAATAAAAGAACTGAACCAGAAGGTTACCAAAGAAAACTGCCGCAGTTTCTCCTAGTCCATTTATGTTAATTCAAGTCCTTGGGGCCTAATTTATACCTATTTTATATCTTTCTTTTTACTTATTTCAGGGAAATCTCATACAGCAAGAGAATATGGAACTGTATAAGAAGCTAGACCTTGTAGGTAAAGAGAATGCAGAACTGCTAGAGAAGGTATTGTCTAAAAGATTGTATAATACTATTAAAATATATCCCTTAAGCTCTACTCTTCTATTTAACACATATTATACTTCACTAAAGGGAGGAGACAGGTGACAGGTAGAAGGAAAGAGAGAGAAGCTAAATGAGATATCACTAAGCCAAAAACATAAGGCCATTATGTTAATTATAATATAAGCAAATGTGAAGGTTTCTCATCTGGAAAAGGCTGAAACATAAGTTTTTAATCTCAGGTTTATGGAGCAAGGGGTGTCAATAAAGAAAACAAAAGTTCCTAACCTCCATATACCATCACTAATGGATATGATTTGCAAACACCCATCCATCTGCAGCTAAGCCAGCCACAGAATCAAACTCAGCCTCGGTTTCAGAACAATGAAATACCAGCAAAAGGAATCAAATTAGGGTATGTCCTAAAACTGCTAACAATATGCATACCTATAGCATACTATATTGATTCTTATGCCCCAAAAAATGAAAGAATAAGCAAAGCTTACCAATTTATTTAAACTATTAATATCTCTTCAAATTCTGCAACAGATTACAACTGCATTAGCGCAAAGTTGTTTCAGAGCTGTGGGTGGCTATCTGTCATTATGCAGTCAACTTGCACCACAGTGAAAAGCAATCTTCTAGGAGTGAGTCATACTTACAGTAAATGCATCCAGCAGAGGTACCAGCAGCTTTGGTATGAAATGTTTCATGAAACAAACTTTAGAATCTGTGATAGAAATAGACAACTGCTCAATGGTCAGTTAAGCAGCCATCTGTTATCCTAAATATCAAAGACGGGGTTTTATAAGCTTACATTGTCATGATTTCTCCGAAATCATGTTTTATTTAATAATTGATTTTGTGGTCTTATAGACAACCTCTCAGATCAGCCACAGCCACTGATTCTAATTTAAAATACCAAACAGTGCACAAACATCTACTATAAGCTAACCCAAGATTCCCAAAGGTGAACGAAACCCAAACGTTCTGTGACAAAATAAAGAGTTTGATTTCTGTGAACAGTGCCTGCGAGCCAGTGACAGTGGGTGTGAGTTATTACCCAGTTCATAGAAACTCATAAACCCAAACCCAATTTCTGAGCAACCAAACCAATTTCTTAGAAATCCAGACACCATAAACCTTCACAAAAACCCCACATTTCAAAGAAAAGGGTTCTGAACAGTACCTCGTGGATGTCAACGATGGAGTTACGCTTGGATGAACAGCCACTGTTGACGGAGAAAGAGGACTGCGTCGAAGAGAGAGAGAGGTACATCAGGGAGAGAGACGGGCCGAAGAGACAGAGCGAAGAGAGCGAGAGGGAGAGAAGCCAATTTCTGAAAACTTGATATGGGTACAATAAGTGGGCAATAATTTTATATTTAAAGGTGTTAGTTGTAAAAAAATTGGGAAGGGGTGGTATTTTCAGTTAAAATTAGCAAATGGGTGGCATTGGAGGTCATTTCCCTATATTATTTATGTAACCTCAATGAAACAGCACAAAGAAGCTAACCAAGACAAAAATTTATATAGCACACATCTAATTCCAGTTGGTTGGTCAATCGTTTATTACATATTCACTACTTCCAACTTTTTCCGGTTAGAAATTAAGATTCTGTTAAACTTTTATACACAAGGAAAATCATGGATAAAAACTAATAATTTAGAGCCCGTTGCAAAATACTGCCCAATAAGAGAGCTCAAGGAGTACATAAACCTGCCATGAAGAGGATATGGTGCGGGACCCGTCATCATAGTTGCCCCAACTTGCTTCGGCCTTGTTCTTTCAAAAACAAACCTTGTCAATGCGTCTAGCCTGGATCTGAATTCAGACCTTAATTTGACCAACTGCATTAGAAAAACTTAGCCTTCAAGTTCAACACAAACAAATATCAATAAAGAGAGTAACAGATTTGAATTCATGACCTACAAGAGAAAGATCAAAGACAACAGTGAGTCACTGACCTGAATTTCGTTAATTCTCTGTACAAGCATTCTCAATCTGAAAATAGAGCTCGAATGGAGGCTCGTATCTATATTGGCCATTCATACTGTACAATTAGCGCCTCCAAGTCCAACATACGTTATACATAGAGAACATAATTCAAGAGTAGCAGTGCTCAATGTGCCTAAAATGTCATAAAAGCGTAACCTAAAAGCAGATAATGCCAGTTTAACAGTACATGTATGAATTGGCAAGCAAATTCTTGAAAATAAAAGGTCAAGATGCTCTCTCTCTCTCTCTCTCTCTCTCTCTCTCTCTCTCCCCTACCAAAATGCAGAAAGACGAATTTCGACTACTCTGAAATAGTGAATCAGTATTACGAGGAATGCGGCAAACAAAAATTGTACTCACAGTCTCCACCTAAAACACAGGCAGTGAGGAGCATCACTGCTTCGGCTTCCCAATCTCAAATTTGCTTTTAGACTTCCAGTCAATCGTAGTGTTCGAAAAGTCGGCCTAGGCGGGCGGCTAGGCTGCTAGGCGGTGGCTAGGTGGCCGCTAGGCGGCTAGGCGGTGGCTAGGAGGGCGCTAGGCGGTTAGGCGGTCGCTAGGCGGTCGCTAGGCTGTTAGGCAGCTAGGCGGTGGCTAGGAGGCTAGGTAGTAGCTAGGCGGGCGCCTAGGCGGGTTGGGTCTTTTTTCGGTGCCGAACTCGGAGGAAGAAGCAGTGACTGCGAGAGAAAGTTCCGTTCTCTGCGAGTGCAAGCTTCGTGTTCGTTGGAATATATTTAAAGGGTATAGCCGTTCGGCTGTACTGTTAAAATATTCGAATGAATGTAGAAAGTATAGCCGTGCGGCTGTACGTTTATAATTTCTATTTATAGAGTCGAGCCTTGCGGCTATAATGGAAACGTATCATACAAAAGAAGACGTATCATACAAAGGAAACGTATCATACATGGTCATTTCAGAATCCTCATGGTGGTTTTGGATTATTAAGCATATCTTATTACATTGGCTTCTTCTTGTTCTAGCAATAGTATGCTGATAATATTGCAGAAGCCTCAGGAATATGACTTGATGTGGTAGAAATAGACCAGCTTGACCAAATGAGAATACAGTATGCTGATTATTTGCTGATATGCTCTACGTTTTACTTGTTTGGCAGATTGGGGACCGAAGGTTGATGTTGATGTTTTTTGTTTTCTTGACCTTGCTTCAAATTATGAACCCCCAGATTCACTTGCGGAGTGGCTTGAAGCTGGTGAACAGCCTGTCCATATTGGATTTGATAGCCTTGTGAGTTTGTTGCAGCTTTCTCTATTCATGTTTAATATTATTTTCCCAGTTCTATCCCAGAGTAGCTTTGTTTGTCCTTACCCTAGAAAAATTACTTGTTCCTTCCCAATTAAAACAATCAACCAAAGCCACAATCTCCAAAGAGTGACCACCTTCATGTTGGTCCCCAACGAACAGGTTGTGGAGGTCTATTCATGACAGATGACAAATCGACCCTTTGGTTGTTCGTCGTTCAATATCTAATTTGACTGAGGCATGTCTAATACACGCAGAGTATACCTCTGAATTGCATAGTTAAGGTTACTTGATTGTGCATTTGATTGAAATGCTAAATTGTCTTGCTTGCTAAATTTTTTTTTATCTGTATTGTATTAGCCTCTTGAAGAACCAGAGAACATGACCAATATTATTCTTCAAGCTCTGGAAATAACTGGACAGAGAGGCGTCATCAACCGAGGCTGGGGTGGCCTTGGTAATTGTAAGTCTTGATTCTTAAAAAAAGATTACTTTCAAGCACATTGTATTCTTATGCTTCTTTACATCTGAAAGCCTTCATATATTTCTCTTCTCAGTGGCATAACCAAGTGATTCTGTGTATTTAGTGGACAATTGCCCCCATGATTGGCTATTCCAACCCTTTTAATTCTTTTTAATTTGGTTGGGATTTCACTGCACTGGTGTTCAGAACGTCACATGAACTTGATGCACCTTTTTGTTGTTTTGTTGTTTTGTTCCCCTATTGGATAACTAGGCTACTCCTGGTTTCTCACTGGATTTGAAAATATTTCTTAGGTGCATCATGGGGTTGCTGGGACAACTGCTGCTGGTCTGAAAGCTGCGGTAACCGATAATGCTATATTCTTGGGGAGTCTTACATTTGTAAATGATCCAGTTACTCATTTTTGGCTCATATTCTCTGTTCTTTTTAGTGTCCAACCACAATTGTACCATTCTTTGGGGACCAGCCATTTTGGGGGCAGAGGGTGCATGCCATAGGAGTAGGTCCTGCACCGATGAATTCTCGCTTGAAAAGTTGGTCGATGCCATACGCTTCATGTTAGATCCAAAGATATTTACCATTTTCTTTTCAAACTTCCAAGTGATTTACATATAATTTGCCATTTCTTGAGTGTAAACTTATCACACATGCATACGTGCTGATTTAATTGAAGTTGACATTGTTTTGTAATCAATTTCAACATGCAAATACTTGTCACAACTCTCGGGTTATTTTCTTCAATCCCTTGCGTGGACCTGAATAGATTAAATTAACAAAGAAATAACTATTTTCGGTTGAAAGGTTAAAGAGCGTGCTGTTGAAATTGCCAAGGCCATGGATGGCAAAGATGGGGTGACAGGAGCAGTGAATGCCTTTCATAGGCACTTTCCTCACAATAAATCTGAGGATAAACCTGAGTCATTGCCGGCTAGAAGAGGTTTATTTTCCATCAGGAGGTGTTTTGGCTACTCCTCCTACACATGATTCTTCACAAGTCCACAACGATGTTTTATTCCTATCATGTGCAAGACATCAGAAATGTGAAATTCTGATATCCTCTTACTAGGTTACTTAACATTACATCGTTTTTGTTTGCTCGTCAAACAAATCTTCTACAGGTGCCTTTGTTTTCATTATTAGATAATGTCTATTAGGGCCACTTCTGCCAGGACAGTAAAAACTGTTATTGGAAGTGTTTTTAATACACTGAGAAAGATGTGATGCTTTGGTAGGGAGCTTGGAAATTTCCAAAGCTGAACGATTCTTCAAGAGACTTAAGAACTATATTGATGGCTTAAAAATAAAGCCGTTGGCCGCTGCACTATACAGACACAGTTTCTTTCTTAGTCTTGCAACCCTATGCACTTGCCTCTCTCAATTTACAGCATTATCTACAAACCAGCCATCATCAAGCAGAAGATTAGTAGAAAACTATCTAGCCAGATCATTCCCTATTCCGGCAGGTAGAATAGCAACTGGAGGAGGAGACACAAAGTTTTGCTTTTCTATGGTGCGGCACCTTTCTGAATAAATATAGACCCACCTCCGGTCCTTGTGTTGAGGTCAGCTCAAAAACCTACATGAAACACAAGCACATGCAACAATCAAGCAACAATTTATGATACGTCCGAAATAATAATAGAGGAATAGGTTCACCAAACTCCATTGAAATCAACTGAGGAGAGATTAACAGCTTGATGAGTATCAGCTGTGCTTTCTGTGGACATACCCCCAGTACTACCACTATTTCCCGTGTCAACAGAGGGTTCATTTCCATGCTTGGACTTGTCGCTCTGACTCCTAATATTGCATTTAAATAGTATAGCCGCGTATAGCCGTACGGCTATACTTGTAAAATTTTTATTCATAGCGTATGCTTGGACTTGTTGCTCTGACTCCTAACAGTTGCTCATACTGAATATGCCATCTCATTAATGGAGCTCAAAAATCCACCAGACATGAAGAGGGGATAGAGTCAACCTTCTGAATAGACCTAAATCACAAATATCACCTGTTTCATTGGACACGCTACTATGGCAATCCACATGTAGGCTATAGTCAAAATTCCAATTAGAGCAGCGATAAGGCAAGAGACAATAAAAAGGCGATCAATTCGATTCTTGTTGTTCCAATTGGAGAAAAAAATATCAATGTCACCATCATCATCCATCCTCAATGACTACTTGTTTGATCTACATTCGCATGAGCATCAAACTGCCCAATCCCAGTTTAATTAGTCTCCAACTCATATATCCTCCAATATGGTTTCATCATTCAATAACATTATTAAAAGCCTTAAACTCATTTGACAACCCAAATCATCATCCTACTTAATTCATCATGTACAACAGAGAGTCGAACAATGCTTTTATAGGTGCTACTTACTATAACCGCTTCAACCTTATAAAAAAAAAAACCTGAAACGTTTCACAAGTAAAAAAATATCATTCCAAATATTACAAAGCACTTGCTGCCATGATTAGTTTCATATCAAAATTCAGATGTAAAAGCTAGATACAAAATACATGTAAACGTGAAGGAAATACAAATTCCACCACAATTCTATCATAATTTAGTGATATCTTAAATTAAATGTGGAAAAACAAAGCAACACACAACCTTCACGCCACACAAAACCCGCTTCATACTTCACTTTCTATTCTATTTTCTCGGAAACCAAACGGAAAGTCTAAAAGCAAAGCATAACATATGTACATACATTCTAATATGTAACTACGAATACGTATCTATGAGTGTGTCTCGATTTTGAAATAACAATCAATAAATACATTGAACTGTGAAGAATTCAGAAAATCAAAAGTGAAAGTGTTTGAAAAAAATAATAATAATAAGGGAACTTACAGTGACATTTCAAGGAGATGGAGATGGATCGCGCCATTCAGAGAAAACCCTAGCCTTAGCTTGATCCACAAAGAGAGGGAAAATTCGGAGTGTAGGAATTGAAGCAAAACCGAAATCCTAAGATTGATTTTTCGGTTTTGAGTGTATAATATATTAATGACATTGTTTTAAGTGTAAGGAGAATAATACATGTCAAGCAAAAAAGGGAGAATGTTGCTAACATTCTTCTAAAAATAATAGGATTACAATAATTATTGTAGTTGATGGCACAGATATCCAAGAAGCTACAATAGAGAAATACAAACATATACAGTCTTATTTCTCACAGCAACATTCAACCGGTGGGGAGGCAATAGTATTAGCCGCATCTAACTGGTCAGAATATTTTAATAGCTATTCTATATAAATATTTTTGAATATTTTAACAGTATAGCCGGTCGGCTATACTATGTGCATATTCTGATAGTATAACCGCGCAGATATACGGATTTTTATTTTTATTTTTTTCCCCAGAGGCGATCATAGATTCTACAAACATGGCCATGGGAAACGAAACTGCAACACGCTACTGTCAGTGAATGTTCAGAGATATCCACAATTTTTTCTCTGAAGATGTCCACTAATCGCGTGATCTGAAAATTAGAGCAAATAAACAAGATCAGGTACAAGGATGTACTAACACAATAAGATCGTCTTAAACAGTGCTCATAACCGTCAAACTAGAAAAGAACTCTGTTTTATCCCCAGAATTATCACATACAATACAACAAATATAAGGTAACCCTCACCGGTGTGGTGAACGCCTGCAAAACACAACAAATACATTGCAGGTTTGGACTTTATCAACACACAACCACAACAATCAAGAATCTTACAGAAAAGTTACTTCAAATCCTTTGAAGAATCAAGCAACACATGACCCTATAAAACTAATTTAATTACAAGAATTCTACTAGTATGTATGAATAGCAACCGAAAGCCATGTGCTAAAAGCAACTGAATTACTTCTGTTCTAATATTATCAATGAGGCAAAAGCGTGCTTCAACTACATTCATTACAAGATCAAAATCCCCTCAAGAAAATGTAAACAGACAACGGATAACACCAAAAATAAGAAGCATATTTCAGGACAAGTACCTCAAGCTCCCGTTTAGGTTCATTGGAAACTGGCAGAAGACATAGTGACAAACTTATCATAAATAGTCAATTTTATAATTCTTACACATTACAAATGAAGCGTTAGAAATTAATATAACATGAGACCTTAACAAATTCAAAGAAATTGCTAATCATGCACCAAGTGCATATGAACCCAATTACACGCTCAAACTTTGAGAGAGTTATGAAACTTGTTCCGTGTGAAGTGGCCAGCAACTGTGCCACAGATTATATAGGGATACAGAAATATGGCAAACCACAAGCGAAAGAGAGATAGGGATTAAAAGAAATATGAACCTGAAGATATGGGGAAACAATAACTCTATTGTAAGTTAGCTCGTCCAGAATTATCTCCACCACAGGAGTTCTGCACCAAATCCAAAAAGTGCATGTATTTTCAACAAATAGAATATGGTACATGAGAGAGAGAGAGAGAGAGAGAGAGAGAGAGAGAGAGAGAGATAACTTTAACTCTCACCATCAGCTCTGGTAGTAGAACCTTGCATATCTGCAGCACTCGTCTTGGACACATCAAGCTCCGTTATCTGAAAAGGACCGAAATCAGTGCCAGTGCATAAACTGATTCTACAAATATTAGGGGCTCACCATGCAGGTATGCTTTCCTACCTCAAGTAAAGAAATTGCAGCAGCAGTATCAAAATTTTCAGCTGGTTATTGTGCCGTAGAATTCTTTGAACATATCATTTAATCGTTGCATCCAGTATAGGTTTGATACAGTTTACACATAATGGTCAAAAGAAATCCTTCATCAAGCTTTAGTAGTTTACTTTTCTCGACACCTACAAAAGGTAACTTAAAATTGAGGGCAAGAGTCGTGGTATAAAAATCACTTAATAACCAGTGGACAACAGGCTCTTCAGTATTCATGGTTTGAAAGAGAAGGGGAATACCAGAAGAATGTTGAGTAAAGACTCTCTCAGAACTACCCATTTCATGGTATCTGCATATACTTAGATATCAATTTAACTTCATAGACACTGTTGCGTGGTCTAAAATCTCCTTTAAAAACATGAACTAGGTATTGAAACGATAACACGTTTCCTAAGGACTGCAACAAAAGAAGATCAAGACAAAAAATATGGGGAAATTCACATTACCATTTTATTTCATTTATTCCATCAAACAAAGATCATGAAAGAAGGTGATGAACATGTGGGATTTGCTTTAAAGTCTAAAACCCATATGATTGAATTGGTTTCTCCAAGTATTTTTGGATAAAATTATACCGTAATGTTGGCCTTACGAACGATGATGTGGTATGATAACCCCATATAAGTTTAGGGCTTAAAAATCTTGTTCACATGATGACACACAACATAGGCAGAGGAAATTTTGCAACTATAACAGTCATGATAGGATTTCCATCAAGGTCTTCTGAGACAAAAATCATAAATGCCGCTACACGCATGTACCCTGTTTTACATCCCTCAAATCTCTCATAATCAATGAATATTGCAATCTTGAAAGAGAGAACATGCTACTAGCTATATAAACTTCATGTTCTACAACAGTAGCTCTCATGGCAACAATCAAATAACACATGTGCTGACAGATACCCAAAATGATCAATCTCCATATTATATGTTGAAACTAGCAATTTAATATCTATAAAGTATAAACTAATGCAACTAGGAAAGTCCTTTTCTCTTAATTTTTTATTTATTAAATAGTATAGCCCTACGGCTATACCTTAATGTAAAGAGTATCTCCACGTGGCTATACTATAGTTTTTTCTTAAAATAGTATAGCCGCGGGCCATACTTATTTTGACACTTGAGACCCTGAGTCCTTTTTTTTAAATAAATAAATAGTATAGCCGTGCGGCTATACTGATTTTGACGCGTGGGAGCCTAATCGCAAATTTTTTAGAGATTTTCTATTTAAACCCCACACTTCTCTTTGTTCACCCCATGTTCTAAGAATTTAAATTTTCACAATTTCTAAGAAAACCCCACTATCTTCCCAAACTACCCTTAAATACACCCCAAGCTGGAAAAAAGAAGAAATAAAAGAGTTTTTCTATTTAAACCCCACACTTTTCTTTGTTCACCCCCAATACTTAAATCATTAAACAATATTTGTAGTATACATGAGATTTTGTTGTTTTCACAAGGCTGTTTTTATGATCATGTGATTAGATCATATGGAAAATTGTAGTTTGTTTGGTTTCGCTTTATGATGATAGTGAAAACCAATGACCACAACATTAGCAATAGGACTATGTATCTGTAGGAACATGATTCCTGTGCCCTTCATCATACTTTACTTGAAGAGATTTGCATCTTTCCTTGCTGGAAAGAACAAGGCCGCAGCTCGGTTGACATACTGTTTGTGAGAGCCAAAGAGAAAGTTGGCCTTATAGAGGAGTTCCAATGGCTTGGTCTGATGTTGTTTGTGTTGCTGTGCCTTTCCCTGGAAGAGGAGCATGGACAGGAGCCATCATAGCTTCCATTCTTAGTATGCCATTATGGGCAGCAGTGTTTGCAAATTTCTTTGGTATTGTATTGGCTGGGCTTCCAGTTAATTTGCTGGTGAACATTGGTCTCAAATATGCAATTATCACTGGTATTATCCTCTTCATTCATGTGGAGCATCCTTCGGAACCTTAGGAAATCTTTAAGCTCATCAAGTTGATATGACATTGGAAATTCTTAAAGTAATCCAATCCCTCACAAGGGTTAACTGATGATCCTTAAATTTTGAGATTGTATGATCCTTGAAGAGTGGTGGGGTGTGTGGGGTGTGTGTATAGATAGATGTACTAGGGTTAAATATTAAGTTGAATGACCTTTTTTGTCTTTTTACACAATAATAAAACTGCAGCTTAATAATTTAAGTATAGGGGTGAACAAAGAGAAGTGCGGGGTTTAAATAGAAAATCTCATTTTTTTAATCATATAGCCGATCGGCTATACTCGGGTTTTTATTTTTTCATAAAAATCCTATGGCCGCCCGGCTGTTTTGGTTTTTAAATTTTTTTTATAGTACAGCCCCACGGCTACACTTATGTTGACACGTCAACAGTCCGCTTTTAAAAATAGTATAGCTGCGCGGCGATAATCCGTATTTTTTATTTAAAAAATCATATAGCCGCGCGGCAATACTTATTTTGACACGTGATTTCTAACTGTCCTGTCTCTGGACTAAAACCAGTGAGTATCTTTTGTGCCTTACGATGTAACTAAAAACACTAATCACAATCACAATCACATCATTGAGTCTTCCGAGTTAGTTTGCTGACTGCGGCTATCCTCATCTCACTTGAATACTTAACCACCATCTGATTGTGTGTGCTTTAGAGGGCTCGTAGTACTTCTAGACCTCTTATTTACTCTTGCTTGCCTCCAGAAGAGCAACTTTCGAATGAGCTCCAGATATAGATAAATTTAATCCCTCCAAAGCTGCTCCATCAAACCTGCAAGAGCAGTTTCCCATGCCAAATACATATATATATATATATATCAGTATATCAATTAAAATGTTAAAGACATCGGGGGCAAGCCATTGTTGTTTACCTTAAGAACATTATCAATATTAGCATCACTAGCATGGCAAGCTATTCTCAGCTTCCTTTCCATGCTTTGTATACCATTTGAACATTGCAACTCTGCCTCCATTTATGCATTCCTTTTACAATCCTGCATGAGTACCCAATTTAAACGAATAAGGCCAGTATACAAGAGATGAGCTAATAAGATATACATATCCATATATACTGCAACAAACTATTTGTTATCACAAAGAATTCAATTATATATGAGGCAACAACAAGATTCTTATCTTTTTCTTCGGGATTTTTGGGACGGTGAAAAGCAGACTTATACACCTCAAGAGCATAATCATATGCTGTTCAGACACCCATCTTCTTCGACACTCTGCAGAGTAAGATTAACACATCTACTCTCTTCAGATAAGACACAGGGCAACATATATTATTTATGTAACCTCAATGAAACGGCACAAAGAAGCTAACCAAGACAAAAATTTATATAGCACGCATCCAATTCCAGTTGGTTGGTCAACTGCATTAGAAAAACTTAGCCTTCAAGTTCAACACAAACAAATATCAATAAAGAGAGTAACAGATTTGAGTTCATGACCTACAAGAGATAGATCAAAGACAACAGTGAGTCACCGACCTGAATTTCGTTAATTCTCTGTAGATCATGTTCGTTGTTCAACGGTCGTACAAGCATTCTCTATCTGAAAATAGAGCTCGAATGGAGGCTCGTATCTATATTGGCCATTCATACTGTACAATTAGCACCTCCAAGTCCAACATACATTATACATAGATAACATAATTCAAGAGTAGCAGTGCTCAATGTGCCTAGAATGTCATAAAAAGCTAACAAGAGTATCCTAAAAGCAGATAATGCCAGTTTAACAGTACATGTATGAATTGGCAAGCAAATTCTTGAAAATAAAAGGTCAAGATTTCTCTCTCTCTCTCTCTTACGAGGAATGCGGCAAACAAAAATTGTACTAACATTCTCCACCTAAAAACACAGGCAGTGAGGTACAAGCATAAATCCCATTTGCATATTAAAGAATAAGCAAAGCAAGAGAAGCTAAACGCATGCCATTCACAGAAATGTTTAAACTTCAGAATCAATTTGAATTCAAGTAGCCTAACGCATGCCATTCACAGGACCTTGTTATTGGCAAGACCATAGAAACTCCATGATAGGACAACTTCTTCATCATTTCCATCCACAGAAGACAGACACCAAGTCAGCAAATTTTGTATTTTTTTCTTCTGCGCCATGTCGTCAGTGCAAAGAGAGAAGAATATAAGGCGCGAAACAGGGAGAGGAATGGAAATTGGAATTAGATGAATTAAGAGTCTCATGATCTCTTCTTCTATGGACCTGACTTGTGCTTCACTGCTTCGGCTTCCCAATCTCAAATTTGCAGCTAAGTTTTTTCAAATTCGGGTTTTAGACTTCCAGTCAATCGCAGTGTTCGAAAAGTCGAACTAGGCGGGCGGCTAGGCGGCTAGGCTGGAGCTAGGCTGCTAGGCTGGCGCTAGGCGGTGGCTAGGCGGGCGCTAGGCGGCTAGGCGGGCCCTAAGCGGCTAGGCGGTCGCTAGGCGGGCGCTAGGCGGTTAGGCGGCTAGGCGTGGCTAGGAGGCTAGGTAGTAGCTAGGCGGGAGCCTAGGCGGGTTGGGTCTTTTTCCGGTGCCGAACTCGGAGGAAGAAGCAGTGACTGCGAGAGAAAGTTCCGTCCTCTGCGAGTTCAAGCTTCGTGTTCGTTCGAATATATTTAAAGAGTATAGCCGTGCGGCTGTACTGTTAAAATATTCGAATGTAAGTAGAACGTATAGCCGTGCGGCTGTATGTTTATAATTTCTATTTATAGAGTCAAACCTTGCGGCTATAATGGAAACGTATCATACATGGTCATTTCAGAATCCTCATGGTGGTTTGGGACTATTAAGCATATCTTATTACATGGGCTTCTTCTTGTTCTAGCAATAGTATGCTGATAATATTGCAGAAGCCTCAGGAATATGATTTGATGTGGTAGAAATAGACCAGCTTGACCAAATGAGAGTACAGTATGCTGATTATTTGCTGATATGCTCTACGTTTTACTTGTTTGGCAGATTTGGGACCGAAGGTTGATGTTGATGTTTTTTGTTTTCTTGACCTTGCTTCAAATTATGAACCCCCAGATTCACTTGCGGAGTGGCTTGAAGCTGGTGAACAGCCTGTCCATATTGGATTTGTAGCCTTGTGAGTTTGTTGCAGCTTTCTCTATTCATGTTTAATATTATTTTCCCAGTTCTATCCCAGAGTAGCTTTGTTTGTCCTTACCCTAAAAAAATTACTTGTTCCTTCCCAATTAAAACAATCAACCAAAGCCACAATCTCCAAAGAGTGACCACCTTCATGTTGGTCCCCAACGAACAGGTTGTGGAGGTCTATTCATGACAGATGACAAATCGACCCTTTGGTTGTTCGTTGTTCAATATCTAATTTGACTGAGGCATGTCTAATACATGCAGAGTATACCTCTGAATTGCATAGTTAAGGTTACTTGATTGTGCATTTGATTGAAATGCTAAATTGTCTTGCTTGCTAAATTGTTTTTATCTGTATTGTATTAGCCTCTTGAAGAACCAGAGAACATGACCAATATTATTCTTCAAGCTCTGGAAATAACTGGACAGAGAGGCGTCATCAACCGAGGCTGGGGTGGCTTTGTATTGTATTAGCCTCTTGAAGAACCAGAGAAATGACCAATATTATTCTTCAAGCTCTGGAAATAACCAGACAAAGAGGCGTCATCAACCGAGGCTGGGGTGGCCTTGGTAATTGTAAGTCTTGATTCTTAAAAAAAGATTACTTTCAAGCACATTGTATTCTTATGCTTCTTTACATCTGAAAGCCTTCATATATTTCTCTTCTCAGTGGCATAACCAAGTGATTCTGTGTATTTAGTGGACAATTGCCCCCATGATTGGCTATTCCCACCCTTTTAATTCTTTTTAATTTGGTTGGGATTTCACTGCACTGGTGTTCAGAACGTCACATGAACTTGATGCACCTTTTTGTTGTTTTGTTGTTTTGTTCCCCTATTGGATAACTAGGCTACTCCTGGTTTCTCACTGGATTTGAAAAATTTCTTAGGTGCATCATGGGGTTGCTGGGACAACTGCTGCTGGTCTGAAAGCTACGGTAACCGATAATGCTATATTCTTGGGGAGTCTTACATTTGTAAATGATCCAGTTACTCATTTTTGGCTCATATTCTCTGTTCTTTTTAGTGTCCAACCACAATTGTACCATTCTTTGGGGACCAGCCATTTTGGGGGGAGAGGGTGCATGCCATAGGAGTAGGTCCTGCACCGATGAATTCTCGCTTGAAAAGTTGGTCGATGCCATACGCTTCATGTTAGATCCAAAGATATTTACCATTTTCTTTTTAAACTTCCAAGTGATTTACATATAATTGTCATTTCTTGAGTGTAAACTTATCACACATGCATACGCGCTGATTTAATTGAGGTTTACATTGTTTTGTGATCAATTTCAACACGCAAATACTTGTCACAACTCTCGGGTTATTTTCTGTTATTTCAATCCCTTGCGTGGACCGGAATAGATTAAATTAACAAAGAAATAATTATTTTCGGTTGAAAGGTTAAAGCATTCAACAGTTGACTTAAAACCCATGCTTTCATAGTCAATGATTTTATGAGTCTCAGAAAATCTGCTGTCGAATTCACCCTGCACCCTATAGAATTTGGAACCAACAATCATTTGCCTACCTGGCCTCTTGCCCTTCGACCGCCCAAGTCCCATCCAATCATTGTCGTCCGAAACCCTAATATCGTCAAATACAGTTTCAAACCTAGGAGCCTTGCCAGAGCTCCTTTTGCACAAGTTACTAATATTTAGCCGGCATAGCTTTTCCTCCTTGCCTTCAAGTTTCAGGTACAAATACCAATCCTTGTCCGGGGGCGGTGGTTTGGTTGTAGTTTTCAAAATTTCACTTTCTTCAGTTTTAACGACAAAAATCTCACGCTCCGAAAAGAAATAACAACATAGTTGTTGACTAATACTTAGACGACATGGCTGACGACGACGTACGAAAGCAACTCATTCTTCAGCATTGCCTTCAATATATTGCAGCTCCCTTTGACAGACACAGTTGCATAACTTTTGTAAGGATCAAAATATCAAAATGAAAGCAACCGAAGAAAACAAAAACGAAAACAGTACATATAGGCATAGGCAGAAAGAATAGGGATGGTCAAAACATACAAACAAATAAAACAACAACAACAACAACTACAACAAATAGGCAGAGAGAATAGAAATCTTTTGGTTAGAATTTAGTACTTACTGTTCAACCCTTGTAGTCGTCACTCGTCAGAGACTTCACCCTATTGCATGTATATTGTGATGCTATTGTTGTTGTATTGCTGTTATATTGCCCTAATATTGCCTCTCTAGTGGATGTATATTGGCCTAATATTGCTATTATATTGTATGTATATTGACTACGGCTCATCAATGGGTTTACGGTTTAGGCCCTACTTCATTCAAAAAGAAGATGACGACGAGAAAGAAACAACGTGCCTTTCAAAAACAGGCAGTCAGGTGCATTATAATTGCACCGTAAGACATTTTAAGAAATTATTTTAAAAAATAATAACAACTAAAAAATAATTTACAAAAAAAGGAAGGTATGAATAAAGAGACAGAGAGCAAGAGAGCGAATAGGGGGAGAAAGAGACAGAACGAAGCTAGAGAGAGACAGAGAGAAAGAGAAAGAGCTGCGCTACAGAAAGAGAGCAGAGCAAAGAGAGAGACACAGAGTTGCACTAGAGAGAGAGAGAGAGAGAGAGAGAGAGAGAGAGAGCTGCGATAGACAAATACCAAAGAGAAAGAGAGATGTGCTAGAGAGAGAGCTGAGTGAGCTAAGAGAGAACAAAATTTCTGAACATGTGTAAAATCAGCAATAAGTGGACAATAGTTATATTTTTATAGGTGATATTGTAATACTATTGCTATCGTATTGTGGTTATATTGCTCTAATATTGCCTCTATAGTGTACATATATTGACCTAATATTGCTATTATATCGTATGTCAATGGCCATTTGGTCTAATAACAGTCTCCACTTCTTTAAAAGTAATCCTGAATTCAAATCTCAAAGACATGACAATTGTTATCCATCCTTATATTAGCATGAATTGATGTTGACCTTTGAAATGATAGTTGGAGTTGCACATCGATTCATATTCAAAAGGAAAGTAATTCTCTCCCTCAATGAATCTTCGTTCAAAAGAAGGCAACTATCAATATTGGGTACAAAAATGCAAGATCCACAGTAAATTAATTAGGCACAAACCACATATTACAAAACCAGGATGATTTTTGGCATGCTTGAAAAGACAACGGCCAAATACAACAGAAAAGAAAATCCATTCAAGCTTCTCACTAAACATGGCCCAAGCACTCGACCATGGTTTCAATCCAAACCTACCCAACAAGGGCATACCACGTGTCCATCGTAACAGAAGAGTGGCATTTACAAAGCATGAACTGCAATATGTTTCTTTTTCTCCTAAACAAAATTGTTACTAAAATGGAACAAAAGATCCCTAACATACAGCAATACAAGCAAAGATAGTCAACTGTCATACACACAAAATTAGTCCTCATCCATCCCTGCAGGCTGATCTCTCTTACTAGGGCCACCTGTTGGTTTTGCCATTATAATCTGCAAGATAGTCAAAGCACTATCAACAACCTTTTTTTAATGAAGGTATTAAACATTAAATAGGCTGCAATCAGATAGATTCATCATTTCTCACACATTTTTAGCTAGCCAGAAAACCCCCAGCATATAGATTTTCTATTTACTATCAAGCCTTCTGCACTGAAGCCATATTCATTATAAAAGTTCAACATTTCCCAAAAGTAACTTTCAATTTTATTTTATTTTTCCAAGTTAAAAACTAACATTTGCGACCGTTCATTGGAGATCAAATGAAAGATTGGCTGGATGTTTCTGTATAAACTTGCAGGCAGTTAATGGGTGAAGAACTTTCTGGTTTGAGTGCCAAAGATCTACAGAGCCTGGAAAACCAACTGGAGACAAGTTTGAAAGGTGTCCGGATGAAAAAGGTGCCTAGTCCTGATTATATAGTCTCAGTTACTACTGTCAAGATCCCTTCTTTATGTAGCACATGCATGACACTCAGTCATTTTTCTGCAGGACCAGATACTAAATGATGAAATAAAAGAACTGAATTTTTTTTTTTTTTTTTTTTTTTTTTTTTTTTTTTTTTTTTTTTTTTTTTTTTTTTTTTTTTTTTTTTTTTTTTTTTTTTTTTTTTTTTTTTTTTTTTTTTTTTTTTTTTTTTTTTTTTTTTTTTTTTTTTTTTTTTTTTTTTTTTTTTTTTTTTTTTTTTTTTTTTTTTTTTTTTTTTTTTTTTTTTTTTTTTTTTTTTTTTTTTTTTTTTTTTTTTTTTTTTTTTTTTTTTTTTTTTTTTTTTTTTTTTTTTTTTTTTTTTTTTTTTTTTTTTTTTTTTTTTTTTTTTTTTTTTTTTTTTTTTTTTTTTTTTTTTTTTTTTTTTTTTTTTTTTTTTTTTTTTTTTTTTTTTTTTTTTTTTTTTTTTTTTTTTTTTTTTTTTTTTTTGGGGCACTATTACGAGGAATGCGAAACAAATTTGTACTAACATCTCCACATAAAACACGGCAGTGAGGTACAAGTAATAAATGCCATTTGATAGTAACAACTAAGCAAAGCAAGAGAAGGCTAAACGCAGCCATTAAAAGAAATTTTAAACTTCAGAATCAATATGAATTCACAGTAGCATAAACGCATTCCTAGTTCAGCAGAACTTGTATTGGCAAGGCCATAGAAACTCAATGATAGGACAACTTCATAATTCCTCCACAGAGGACAGACACCAAGTCAGCAAATTTTGTATTTTTTTCTTCTGACCATGTCGTCAGTGCAAAGAGAGAAGAATATAAGGGGCGCGAAACAGGGCGAGGAATGGAATTGGATGAATTAAGAGTCAATGATCTATTCCTCGATGGGACAGGGACTTGGGCTTCAGTGCTTCGGCTTCCCATACAAGTCCAAATTTGCAGCTAAATTTTTTCAATTCGGTTTTCAGACTTTCAGTCAACGCAGTGGGTTTGAAAGTCGGCCTAGGCGGGCGATAGGGAGGCTAGGCGGGGGCTAGGAGTGCGCTAGGCTGTAGCGGTTGCTGGCGGGTGATGGCGGCTAGGCGGGTCCCTAGGGCGGTACGAAGGAGCGAGGGGGGCGCCTAGGCGGGTGGGTTCTTTTTCGGGCAGAAACCCGGAGGACCGAAGCAGCGACTGCCGAGAGAAGTCGTCCACTGCGAGGCAAGCTTCGTGGTGGAGCGAATATATGTAAAAAGTTATAGCCGCGCGGCCGTACTTTTAAAATATTCGAATCGTAATTAGAAAAATATAGCCGTAACTTCAAAAATACCCATGGTCCTTATAATCCTTTACCTGACACCTTAAGGAACTTCAAAAACTATCCCAATAAGTCCACACATTTCCCAATTGCCACTCACACTGCTAGTATAATTTCGGATGATCGTATTCTTAACTACTCTGCTTAATAGTAACCTATTTCCATGCTCAATGGTAGTGGATATCATGTTATTTGATTCCCTCCACTCCCTAAATTTAGGGTTCATGGGAAGTGGCTTGTTACTTGGGCCTTAATTTTTGCTCCCACGCTGATAATGTTGCAGAAGCCTCAGGAATATGATTTGATGTGGTAGAAATAGACCAGCTTGACCAAATGAGAATACAGTATGCTGATTATTTGCTGATATGCTCTACGTTTTACTTGTTTGGCAGATTGGGGACCGAAGGTTGATGTTGTGTTTTTTGTTTTCTTGACCTTGCTTCAAATTATGAAGCCCCAGATTCACTTGCGGAGTGGCTTGAAGCTGGAGAACAGCCTGTCTATATTGGATTTGATAGCCTTGTGAGTTTGTTGCAGCTTTCTCTATTCATGTTTAATATTCTTTTCCCGGTTCTATCCCAGAGTAGCTCTGTTTGTCCTTACCCTAAAAAATTACTTGTTCCTTCCCAATTAAAACAATCAACAAAGCCACAATCTCCAAAGAGTGACCACCTTCATGTTGGTCCCCAACGAACAGGCCGTGGAGGTCTATTCATGACAGATGGCAAATCGACCCTTTGGTTCTTCAGTTGTTCAATATCTAATTTGACTGAGGCATGTCTAATACATGCAGAGTATACCTCTGAATTGCATAGTTAAGGTTACTTGATTGTGCATTTGATTGAAATGGTAAATTGTCTTGCTTGCTAAATTTTTTTTTATGTGTATTGTATTAGCCTCTTGAAGAACCAGAGAAAATGACCATATTATTCTTCAAGCTCTGGAAATAACTGGACAGAGAGGCGTCATCAACCGGGGCTGGGGTGGCCTTGGATCTTAAAAAAGATTACTTTCAAGCACATTGTATTCTTATGCTTCTTTACATCTGAAAGCCTTCATATATTTCTCTTCTCAGTGGCAGAACCAAGTGATTCTGTGTATTTAGTGGACAATTGCCCCCATGATTGGCTATTCCAACGATGCTCTGCTGTGGTAAATTTCAATGCTTTTAATTATTTTAATTTGGTTGGGATTTCACTGCACTGGTGTTCAGAACGTCACATGAACTTGATGCACCTTTTTGTCGTTTTGTTGTTTTGTTCCCCTTGGATAACTAGGCTACTCCCGGTTTCTCACTGGATATGAAAAAATTCTTAGGTGCATCATGGGGGTGTTGGCACAACTGCAGCTGGTCTGAAAGCTGCGGTAACTGATAATGCTATATTCTTGGGGAGTTTACATTTGTAAATGATTCAGTTACTCAGGGCTCATATTCTGTGTTCTTTTTAGTGTCCAACCACAATTGTACCATTCTTTGGGGACCAGCCATTTTGGGGGGAGATGGTGCATGCCAGAGGAGTAGGTCCTGCACCCGTTCCAGCTGATGAATTCTCGCTTGAAAAGTTGGTCGATGCCATACGCTTCATGTTAGATCCAAAGGTATTTACCATTTTCTTTTTAAACTTCCAAGCGATTTACACATAATTTGTCATTTCTTGAGTGTAAACTTATCACAAGTAAAACAAATATCATTCCAAATACAAAGCACTTGCTGCCATGATTACTTTCATATCCAAATTCAGATGTAAAAGCCAGATACAAAATACATGTAAACATGAAGGAAATACAAAGTCCACCACAGTTCTATCATAATTTAGTGATATTTTAAATTAAATGACAGTCCAGTGGCAAAACAAAACACCCCCATCTCTAGAGACCAAAGCAACACACAACCTTCACGCCACACAAACCCGCTTCATACTTCACTTTCTATTCTATTTTCTCATAAACCAAACGGAATAGTCTAAAAGCAAAGTGATGAGCACATAATTATTACATGTGATATCCCTTAAATGATATTTGTTAGTATCTTATTTGTTTAATTTTGGACTAATTGCTTTGATACGTGGGTATGTGAGGTGTTGTTGTTACAAGGATGGCATAATCAACTTGGGACTATGCACAATAAACATATCATGGGCATTCACGTGGGTTGGCAGCAAGATGATGAAAGGCAACCTTTTGGAGGTTTGCACATTCCAAAGGAATGCAAAGAGAGAGGTGGTTGGCCCCCAAAGGAGAGATAGCTCCAGCAAGATGAAAAAGCCTGATGGGATAATGGTTAATCAAGCATGTTTGGCAATCGCACTACAATAGAGCAGCTCCCATTCCCTAAATATATCATTGATGCAGTTTCCACAGACACCAAGCTCACAACTCTCTTGAGCTCTCTCTCACCAATTCTTCTAGTAATTTTATGGGAAACTAAGGTAGCACTACTACAAAACAACCCTTGCGCGACCAAATTTTGCGCGACGAATAATTTTTCGTCGCGCAAAGACACTTTGCGCGACGAAACTCAAAACTCCGTCGCTAAAAACCTTGCGCGACCAACTTTTGCGCGACGAATTTTTTTTCGTCGCTCAAAGCGACTTTGCGCGACCAACTTTTGCGCGACGACAATACGTCGTCGCTCAAAGTCTTGCGCGACCAAATTTTGCGCGACGAAAAAAAATTCGTCGCTCAAAGTAACTTTGCGCGACGAAAAAAATTCGTCGCTCTAAGTAACTTTGCGCGACGAAAAACAGTTCGTCGCGCAAAGCGACTTTGCGCGACGAAAAACAATTCGTCACGCAAAGCTACTTTGCGCGACGAAACAATTAACTTCGTCTCGCAAAGTCCTTATAAAAATAAATAAAATATTTTTTAAAATATTTGTTAGAAAAATATATTATTGTTTTTTGGATTGGGTTTTTATTAGAAAATATATTTTTTAAATTGACGATCGAATTAGTTCATTGTATTCATATAGGGTCAAAGAGTGTAGCTATAAAAAAATCATCAAAATCGGAGTTAAAATAACCGTTAAATCGTGATTTTTCATTTATAACCGTCGAAAAGTTTTGTCCAATTACTTGATCTCTGAATGTTTATTTCTTCCGATTTTTAGCGTATATGATCTCGAAGTATAAACAAACAAGTTTGACGGTTGGATCGTTCAAACTAGTTTCATAGAATGCGTATGCCATCAAAACAATATATTCACTAACAATTAAGAGTTTATTTATACTTTTGTTAAATATAACATAAGATTTTGTGGTATCCACTAGTGTAAATATTTTAAATTGAAGATCAAATTCAGTCATTGTATTCATATAGGGTAAAGGAGTGTAGCGGTAAAAAATCATCAAAATCGGAGTTAAAATAACCGTTGAATCATGATTTTTCATTTATAACCGTCGAAAAGTTTTGTCCCGTTACTTGATCTCTGAATGTTTATTTTTTGCGATTTTTGGCGTATATGATCTCGAAGTATAAACAAACAAGTTTGACGGTTGGATCGTTCAAACTAGTTTCATAGAATGTGTATGCCATCAAAACAATATATTCACTAACAATTAAGAGTTTATTTATACTTTTGTTAAATATAACATAAGATTTTGTGGTATCCACTAGTGTAAATATTTTAAATTGAAGATCAAATTCAGTCATTGTATTCATATAGGGTAAAGGAGTGTAGCGGTAAAAAATCATCAAAATCGGAGTTAAAATAACCGTTGAATCAAGATTTTTCATTTATAACCGTCGAAAAGTTTTGTCCCGTTACTTGATCTCTGAATGTTTATTTTTTGCGATTTTTGGCGTATATGATCTCGAAGTATAAACAAATAAGTTTGACGGTTGGATCGTTGAAACTTGTTTTTTTGAATGCGTATGCCATCAAAACAATATATTCACTAACAATTAAGAGTTTATTTATACTTTTGTTAAGTATAACATAAGATTTTGTGGTATCCACTAGTGTAAATATTTTAAATTGACGATCGAATTAGTTCATTGTATTCATATAGGGTCAAGGAGTGTAGCTGTAAAAAATCATCAAAATCGGAGTTAAAATAATCGTTAAATCGTGATTTTTCATTAAGAACCGTTGAAATTTTTTGTCCCGTTACTAGGTCTCCGAATGTTTGTTTTTTTACAATTTTTGGGGGTATACGATCTTGAAGTATATACAAACAAGTTTGACGGTTGGATCGTTGAATGGTGTGTGTATATATATATATATATTTACTTATTAAGTAGCTTTAAATTTATTTATTTTGTACGTATAACACTTAAGAAATTGGTATATACATTTATTAAGTAGCTTTAACCTTATTTATATTTTAAATCGTAAAAAAAATAAATTTATTATTCATAACAATTATTTTTATAAATATCGTGCTATGAACCAATTTTTCGTCTCTCAAAAGTTTGCGCGACCAACAATTCGTCGCGCAAAACTTTAAAAATTTGGGTGAGTACCAAAAATGGGACGCGGGATGGAAAAAAAAATTTTTTTTAGACTTTGCGCGACCAATATATATTTTCGTCGCGCAAAAATTTGGCGGGTACCAAAAATGGGACGCGGGAATTTTTTTATTTAATTTTTTTAGACTTTGCGCGACCAATATGTATTTTTCGTCGCGCAAAAATTTCAAAATTTGGGCGGGTACCAAAAATGGGACGCGGGATTTTTTTTTTTTTTTTTTATACTAATATTCGTCGCGCAAAACTTTGCGCGACCAATATATTTTTCGTCGCGCAAAGCTTTGCGCGACCAATACTCCAATATTTTTCGTCGCGCAAAGCTTTGCGCGACCAACAATGTCGTTCGTCGCGCAAAGTGATACGGTTTTTTAAAATAAAAATAACTCCTCCACCATTTTCTCAATGTCTTTCTCTACTCTTTCCTCTCCTCTCTCTTTCCCTCTCCCCAAATCTCACCATTTCTCTCACTCTCACTCCTCTCACTTAATCTCTCATCATCTCTCTCTTCACTATCTCTTACTCTCACTCACTCTCTCATCTCTCTTTTCACTATCTCTCACTCTCACTCACTCTCTCATCTCTCTATCACTATCTTCTCTAATTCTCTCACACTCATTTCTCTCTCTCATTCTCACTCACTCTCAATCTTGCCAAAAGGTAGATTCTCTCCAAATTTTAATTTTTTTTTCATTAATATGTGTTTTTGGAGTTAGTTTTGAGTTTGTGTGGGGTTTGGGGTTGAGTAAAGGGGAGGGATTGGAGTTTGGGTTGGATTTGTGGTATAACAATTTTAGGGGAGATTATCCCTTTTTTTATTTATTGTACTTTGTTAATTTATGTGTACATTTTGAATATTATATATATATTTATTGGATAATTTGATCACTATTTTTCATATGTAATTTTATTTTGAATATGTCAATTTAAATTAAAGTAATTAAATTAAATTTAAAAAGTAAACATTTGAATAAATTAATATAATTAAATTAATATCAATTTAAATTAAAGTAACGAAAAAAATCATACAATTAAATTTAATTTAAAAATTAAAAATTCGAAAATAATTAATATAATTAAATTAATATTAAAGAAATAATAAAACAAAAGTCAAAAACCAAAATATTTCGTCGCGCAAATATTTGCGCGACATTAATATTCGTCGCGCAAAACTCTAAAAATTTGGGCGGGTACTAAAAATGGGACGAGGGAATTTTTTAAAAAAAATTTTAAAATTTTTTCGTCGCGCAAAGTTTTGCGCGACCAATATTTTTCGTCGCGCAAAGTGGCTTTGCGGGACAAATATTTTTTCGTCGCGCAAAGTCGCTTTGCGCGACCAATATTTTCGTCGCGCAAAGTTACTTTGCGCGACCAATATGTTTCGTCGCGCAAAGTCACTTTGCGCGACCAATATTTTTTCGTCGCGCAAAGTCTCTTTGCGCGACGAATGAAAAAATTTCGTCGCGCAAAGTCTTTCTCCACGATCTTTGCGCGACGGAATCTGCGCGACGAAGTTTCTGTCGCGCTAAAATTTGTGCGACTATAATGTATTTGCGCGACGAAATTTTCTTCGTGCGCAAAGTGAAAAATGTAGTAGTGTAGGGAGAAAGCTTTTAATATGAGTATGTAATTTTATTTGTTTGATCTAGGCAAAATTTGTGCGGTATCTTTTTCATTTGGTTCCTATATTTACAAAGGTTTCTAGCAAGAGTATATTGCAGCAGCTGTTCTTCAGGACAAATTTACGCAAGTGTTGATTCTCTTGCAGGGAACAGAATATTATGATGGGAAAACAAAGAGATATGTTGATTTTCCAATATCAATCACAGATATATTGCAAATGATGGTTTTGGTCACACATGACTATATAGAATAAAAAATGGAAAGAAAGAAATATGTGAATCAGATTACATGCTTTTCTCCATTTATAATCAACAGTTGCTCAGATTCTACAAGAAAGATGAGAATAGATGTCCATCACAATCCGCCCGCCAAACAATCCATAAACACAAATCATATTACTTTCTGAATATTTGCCTAAAATATTAATACTAGGAATCAGGTTGTTTGGGGTTCTTTAACCTGAGTCTCAAAATAATTAAAAATAGTGGCTATACTCGTTAAAAATTAAATATAAATAGGGTATAGCCGTGAGTCTCAAGTATCAGTGGGAGCTGCCTTCGGGGTAGGCCAGTCCACAGTTTCTCAGGTGACTTGGAGATTCATTGAAGCATTGGAAGAACGTGCCAAGCACCATCTCAAGTGGCCTGATTCCAACAGAATGGAAGAAATAAAGTCCAAACTTGAAGAAGCCTTTGGATTGCCCAATTGTTGTGGAGCCATAAATGGTACACACATCATTATGACCCTTCCTACCGTTCAAACATCAGACGATTGGCGTGACCTGGAGGACAATACAGCATGCTCTTGCTCTCTTAGAGATCTCTAATTTGTCCACGCCCAATTCCTTCTCAACCAATGATTCTGAAGAGGAATATTTATTCTTGTGTTCCTTTAAAAGACTTTCTGGCTAGAAGACCATACACGATGGCATTGAAGCAAAGAACATAATTGCATTAACTCATGGGTGCGTTTCTAGTTTATGAGATGTGGCGTCTGCAAGCACATGCTTCTCAGGTGCTGTTGTACACACCTTCAAACAGATGACAGATGGAATATAGGCAGCCAGTTGATCTTGTAGCCCTGCTAAACGAAAATATGCCTGTCTAGCCGGGCGGCTACACCGTGGAAATATATTATATTTAAAGAGTTCAGCCGCTCGGCTATACCATTTAAATATTATTTAAATAGTATAGCCCAAAAAAGCCCAAAAATGGCTATACGAGCTTTACAAGTGCTGTTGTACACTCCTTCAAAGAGGTGACGGATGAACGAAATATATTATATTTAAAGAGTTCAGCTGCTCGGCTATACCATTTAAATATTATTTAAATAGTATAGCCCAAAAATGGCTATACGAGCTTTACAAGTGCTGTTGTACACTCCTTCAAAGAGGTGACGGATGAACGAAAATCAGTGCAGGGAAAAAGGATGCCAGTATAGCCGATCGGCTATACCTTCTAAATATATTATGAGTACAGCCGTGCGGCTATACCATTGAAATATTATTTTAATAGTATAGCCGTGCGGCTATATTTATTATTTTTTTTTAAAAAGGCCAAAAATGACTATACGAGCTTTATATTGTCCTCCCAGCCTGCCTCGCTTCACCGAATCACTTCCCATCAAAGTCTTCAAGTTTAAGGCCAAAAAAGAGGTGGGCAATTCCTCATTTGAGCTCTCATGAAGTCTCCCAAGAAATCAAAGAAAAGCAAGAAAGATAGGAAAATTGAAGAAAAACTTAAGCTTGGTTCCAGTCGAGCCTAAAGCCCCAGAATCTGGCTAGTGGGATAGTTTCTTCAACCCAAGGTTTTTCTTTTCACTAAGCTCAATCTTCAATTACTCTGCTTCTTGCTTTTTAGTGGAATGCATTCAGATTACTTGTAGTTTTAACTAAATTATCTTTATGTTTTGCTTATTTTGGAAAATCTATGATGCACAGAAATCTAGAACAGGTGGTGGATTTTGTTATGTAATGTTAAATTCGGTAATGATGTTCATAATTAGAGCTCAAAACCTATAAAAGGTGCTTTTGTTCAGTTAGGCTGTTGAAAAAATCGGCCCATGCGCTAGGAGGCCGCCTAGGCGGGTCCCTTTTTTTTTCCTGACTTTAGCTAAATTATGAACTCGCTTCAATTTCTAATGGCCGCTATACAAAAATTTGCTTTTGATTATGTGTTTTGCATCCTGAAAAGAGAAAGATGTGGTCGAAAAGTTATTACTAGAGGGAGCAATAGAGATTTTTGTTAGGAATCTGGTTTGGCCTAAGTTTGGAAATCCTGATTGAATCAGACTTGGGGAATATACAGACATAGAAACACATAGTCGGGCTTTGCTTGTTGTCATAGACTATGAAGCCGCAATTCACCTCTGGATGGTTGACAAGTTTGACTTTGTTGTCTGCATGAGTGCCTATATCGACCCAGTAATTTAGCATGCAAAGGATCTCCTTATTTTCCCATTAATGAGTATATATCTTGTGCAAGTTTTTGTTCCAATATACGATACTTTACTTTGTACCAAACAGATATTACCTAAATTGACGAAGTGGATGTGAAAAAAGCAGGTGACTTTTTTTGTATTTGTAAACACGGATCCCATAACTTGATGCAAAATTGAAATAAAAATAAAAGTTACAGAGAATGAAAACGACATTGACATGTTAAAGGTAGCGTTAGCTGCTCAATTTCATTTGAAGTAATAAAGTTCTGCAAATATTCGAATAACAAAAGCTAGGATGCAAGTATAGAGCTCAAAGATTTACAGATAAGCCTCCGATATTCCAACCCACAAACCACTTTCACCCTACAGATTGCATCAATTGGTAAAGTACAAGGGCATCGCCAAAATCGAATTCCTTTATGATGCCTCAGCAATGATAGAGAGCTGCACAGACACTTTCTCGGCTATTGATTTGATCTCTTTCACTCTCTCATCAACTAACTGCTGGAGTTGCTCCTCCTGATTTGGTTGATTCTCATCTATCTGAACAGTACTAGCAGCTTCACCAGCTTGTGACCTGAACATCACAAATGACATCTCGGGTTCATAATTGCTTGGAACTTCAATCACTTGCTTCCCACCAGTCCCAGAATCTTTTCTGATAAGATCTTCCTTCATGCGATTAGAAATAATTCCCACAAAATCATCCATATAGCTGTCCACATGATCAAGGCCGAGATAAAGGAAAACCTCCCAACACTGAAGAAACTGTTTCTTGTTGATTTTCAAACTTTTCCGGACATCCTCAATGACTCTAGTGTCTGGCATGAGTCGAGGAGTGTGTCTTCTTCGACAATTTTCCTTGCTTTAGTTGTGAAACTGCTGAGCTGACTGCATGCTTGATTGGATCGAACTTATGAAGGCGCAGTACATCAACACAAGTGCGTACATGTTGAAAGTAATTCAATGGTTCTTCAACTGTTAGGTCATAGACGTTTTCAGATATTGCAACATCATTGAAAACCTCAAGAAGGTATCGTCCAAAACCCTTGTGTTGATAAGGAGGCAATACCAATATCTGCCATCAACAAGCAGGCTTGTTAAAACTCAACAGCACCAAGATTGCACAAAAAATGAAATTTATTTGAACTACGGAAGCACCAAGCTGTTTCTCTAGAGCATGCATAACTAGCAACTGATATATACAAGGAGCAAACCTGACCAATCCGCAACTGAGAACTATATATCAGGATAATGGTAAAAACGATACACAGCTGTAAAACCAAGCAACATATTGTAGATTTCCCCCTGCTGATCTGTTTTCCTCTGGATCAGGACATACAACTCCCAGCTTGGATCCACAACATCAATTGGATTGCTACCTAATTCAAAAAACAACAATTGATGTCATATTCTTACACTCCCCCTTCCCATCTTTTCTCCATAAAAATAAGAAAATAACAGAGTGTTCTCTGATGAAGTGAGATAGGTGATAAAATTACCATCAATAAGAAGAAGAACAAGAGGAATCAAGTGACTGTAAAGGTGTCCAGCATGCAATACAACCAAGCGAACAACCTGAAGTTGGCTATAATATAGTACTTCCACGCGGCTATACTAGGTTTTTGCCTAATTTTATTTTAAAAATAGTACAGCCGATCGGCTATACCCTAATTTTTTTAAAATAGTATAGCCGATCGGCTATACTCGGTTTTTTAAAATATTCTGATGAATCGGACTCGAACTCATCACTACGAACGTCTAGGGCACAGAGCAAGCCCGTTCCAGGTTTTGAGCAGTGTTCGAAATATCGGCCTAGGCGCTAGGCGGGAGGACACCGACACCAGGGAGTTCGGGGGGGCTAGGCGGCCTGGGCTGTTCTAGGAGGCTCCTAGGCGGCCTAGGCGGTTCTAGGCGGTGCTAGGCGGCCTGGGCAGTTCTAGGCGGCCTGGGATGTTCTAAGCGGTTCCTAGGCAGCCTGGGCTGTTCTAGGCGGCTCCTAGGCTGCCTGGGCGGTTCTAGGCGCCTCCTAGGCTACCTGGGCGGTTCTAGGCGGCCTGGGTGGATCTAGGCGACGCCTAAGGGGCCTGGGCAGATCTAGGCGGCCTGGGCGGGTCTGAGCTCCAAGGCGGGTCGTGTCCTTTTTTCTCCAAATGAAGACAGACGAAGCTTGCTAGTGCGAAGGAGGAAAGGTGACATAAAATAAGGAAAGGCATAAGAAATGAGGGGTTTGTTTCGTGTGGAGTGAAAGGAAGAGATAGAAAACTGTGTTTCTGTTGTTGAGAGAGTGAGAATTGGGAGACAAATGAAGAGGGAATGAGAGATTTATAATTCCTGGTGGTCTTGGTTGGGGTAAAGAAAAGGAAAAGATAAATTAGTCGTCAACACGCATGCAGGGAGAGGTCGGTTAGTGGAGGAGGCGCATTGGCATTGCTCACCAATGCCTTTCTGCTTTATTGATTTCTTTCTAGTACTAGAAGCCTAATGTTACTGTCTAATAAAGTCACATAGAAAATCCTTACATCTTCTGCTCTGCAACTACTTTTTTATTTATTTAAATATTTTGACTGTACAAGTGGCATAGCACTGTAGGGGAAGACACCTTCAACAATAATTAGTGTGGTATTCTGTAGCAATCCTCTTCAGGAATGTTTTCAAAATTTAGAGAGAATACAAGCTAATTTCACAGGGAGGAGAAGCCACAGAAAAGCGTAACGCAGTGATGACTTTGATTGCACGCTATGCTTAATATGAACCTGTCACAACTCCTTGTGGGCATGAAATCCTTGTGGGCATTTCATGCCTATTTCAGTCAATGGATCGAGGTGAGTGTTTTGCTGTTACTGATCCTATTTAATTGAGTTAGTCTATATCTTCTAATCCCTTTTTAGTCCTTGACTTGTGTTAAATTTTCCTAGGTAACAAATGTCCTTTGTGCCCAACAGTTCTTTTCATTAGTCCTATAACATGTGCTTATAATAATTGAATGAGATGCTTGTATTATTTGACATCAGAATTATTGCTTTATGGTTTTCTATACCTGTGCTGTTTGTAATGGGCATGGCTGCGCATCCCCCAGGAGTTCCACCTATTATAGATTGAGTCTGGCATTCTCACTTTTACAGAGTATAACAATTAGTGGATTTGTGGTTCTAGATTTTGTCAGCATGATATGTGCTTTTCCATCATCCATTCAAACGAATATACTGTGAAAATTTTCTATTTATAGAGCATAGCCGATCGGCTATACTGCTACAATATTCTATTTGAAGGGTATAGCCGAGTGGCTGCACATTCAAATATTCTATTTATAGTGTAGCCGCGCGGCTATACCTTTATGGCAGCCTATTTAACGACGATATTCAAAGCGTATAGCCAAGCGGCTATACGATTTGAATATAATATTTAATCAGTATAGCCATTCGGCGGTACTATATTTCAATAATTAAATAATACAGCCGCGACCGTACTCTTCAAATATTGGCAGTGGCCATTTCCTCAGGTGATTAAAGCATGGAGGGAAGATTTTCTGTATTTCTCGGACCTTCTCACGTTTGGATGCCTCCTCTTTTGCAGTCCTTCCTTTATCTAGCACATCAAAATGATTGTAATGCGACTAATAAATTCATAAAGTAAAAAACAAAAAGAAATTTTCAGTGGAAAAACAGATGCAACGATAACTCACCAGGTTTCTTTGTAGACCTCCCAGTTCCCCTTTCACCTGTACAACCATTGGCTGGCCATACTTTTGCAGAATGATTAGAACCACCATGGTCCTAGGAACAAAAACAAATGCAACAGCCAAAAAAATTGAAGAATAAGTTTCTAAAACAATTAGTCCAAAATGAATAAGTTAAACACAATGTGAATTGATAATGTTACTGGTTCAAATGCATTCCTGGAAATTAATGAAGTCCTACCGGTGGGGATAACAGACAAGTCCAAATAAGGAAGTGATCACCTAAATGAGGGGTTTCTGTTGCTTTAGGATCAGCACTTGATAAAACTTGAGCTTCATCTCTTATCAATGCATGGGTTTTTCCTGGTTTACATAGAGTTGCAGCTTCAGAAGAGGAGTCTCTAGTATCACTACTTTTTCTTAAATGATCCATGCAAAGAACTTCAACATCCATTGCACTTTGAGCACTCTGGCCAAGTACTTCTCCAGCCTGTTGTAAGGTGTCACTGCCTGTCTTTTCCTCATCATGAAGTTGTTCTTCTTCATGCATCAAACTGTCCCGATGAATGAAGTAAGCAATTAAAATATAAGAAACCAATAAGTTCTGAAGTTAATGTGAACCAACAGTTTAGTTCAGCAGCAGCAGATCCAGCACGAGCATATGTAAAATCAATGATCCGTAGCAAAGAAATTAGATCGGTGATTACAAATTACATATACAGAAATGAAGTATCAGGTTAAGAATGCACATAATAGTGGAGTCAGTCAGCCACTCGAGGGCAACTAAGCACTAACAATTATGTACTTTTATTCTGACCTTGTTTTTATACATATGTATTATTATAGAATACATGTAAATGAGAATGTATTTTCCATGTCGCATCTTATTTTCTATTTCTCATTTCACATGATTGTGTTTGTGCTCATAGGCAGATACATTATTTCCAAATTGACAAAAGATAGGGTTCAAATTACATACCTCTCTGGAGTGCTTCAAATCTGCTTCATGATCTACTGAGCAGTTTTCAGGGGAAGTTTCTTCATAAGAACTGGTATTAGTACAAACAGAATTATTCAATTTGGTTATCAATGAGCAGCTATTTTCCACGTGCGGTGATTTCATTTGTATATTAGACTCATCCATATCCTTTTTTCTTTTATTCCTTCGGCAGAAAGTAATCAATTATTCAACTTGTTTCACGCAAGCTGAATCACCACCTAATTTATCTAACTTATTTCTAGAGAATGAATCAGTGTCTTCTAAGTTTGATGTATTCAATCTTGGCGAGCTACCATCACATCCAGAGCTGCTTTTTCTTTCAAATGCTGCTGCTGCTGATGATGATTTTTGTCTTACAAAATCAGCAATAATTACAGCGGAATTCATCACCAATTGAGAAACTAACCTCCCTCCAACATTATTATCATCAACCAATGCTCCAGCATTAGCATTTGAAGATGAGCCTACTTTCTTGCCACTAGACTTATTTCCATATGCATCCCTTTGGGAAGGAACCTCATCAAGACTTGTCGGAACGGTTTTAATTGGTATTTGTCTTGTGCCGGACACTTCCATGTGTTTCTTTTCCTTATGGGGTTTATCTAGGCATTGGAGATGATACAACTGAAGGCATTTTCCACAGTGCTTCAGGTTACCCCCAACACAGCACACAAAACAACATGGCATACCTGCAAGAAAAAGAGGCAGGTAAGACAGAATATAGCAATGACCTTAAAAATAAATTATAGGTCTAAGTCAACTAAGAGAAGATCTTCATAGAAACCTAAATTAAAGAACCAAATCTAAATGCTCATCTCAACTAGATACGCTTTCAAGGGTCGGTTGAATAGGGCACATTCTGGTGGTATCTGGTAATCCCTTAAAACCTTTTTCTTTTCAGTATTTTTTTTCAAGAACAAAATTATTAGAGGAAAAATAGGGAAGGATGGATTATTAAATTATCTACATAAAGATGATTGACATACAACATATGTCCCTATGAAACAAACTACAAAAAGTGAACAGGTTCCAACTTTCTAAAATCTCACCGCAGAATTTCTGTTGTAATTTTCTGAGGTACGCTTATCAATCAAATGAACTTGCAAGTCTGGTGGTTTGCTTAAAGAAGTATCATCGGGTGCAACAAAAAGTGAATTACGGCACTCATGTCCCTGTACAGGATCTGTTCTTGATTGCCGCTTTCGCTTATACGTTAGCAACACTTTGATTCCTGACATTTAAGCTTTCAAAAAGAAATCTTGCTGCACTTCCAAACACTTGGACCGCATTTTTCACATGAAATTTGTACTTATTCCACTATATGTTCAGTCTCATTTCAACACAGAAAAACCTGCAACTGTTACGAGGAATGCGGCAACACAATGATAGCTGAAGGGCAAAAGACGGATTTCGACTACTCTGAAATAGTGAATCACTATTACGAGGAATGCGGCAAACAAAAATTGTACTAACATTCTCCACCTAAAACACAGGCAGTGAGGTACAAGCATAAATGCCATTTGCATATTAAAGAATAAGCAAAGCAAGAGAAGCTAAACGCATGCCATTCACAGAACCTTGTTATTGGCAAGGCCATAGAAACTCCATGATAGGACAACTTCATCATTTCCTTCCACAGAAGACAGACACCAAATCAGCAAATTTTGTATTTTTTTCTTCTGCGCCATGTCGTCAGTGCGAAGAGAGAAGAATATAAGGCGCGAAACAGGGAGGGGAATGGAATTGGATGAATTACGAGTCACATGATCTCTTCTTCTATGGACCTCACTTGCGCTTCAGTCCTTCGGCTTCCCAATCTCAAGCTCAAATTTGCAGCTAAATTTTTTCAATTTCAGGTTTCAGACTTTCAGTCAATCGCAGTGTTTGAAAAGTCGGCCTAGGCGGTAGCTAGGCGGCTAGGCGGTGGCTAGGCGGGCGCTAGGCGGCTAGGCGGTCCCTAGGCTGCTAGGTAGTAGCTAGGCGGGCGCCTAGGCAGGTTGGGTCTTTTTTCGGCGCCGAACCCGGAGGACGAAGCAGTGACTGCGAGAGAAAGTTCCGTCCACTGCGAGTGCAAGCTTCGTGTTCGTTTGAATAATATTTAAAGAGTATAGCCGAACGGCTGTACTTTTAAAATATTCGAATCTAATTAGAAAGTATAGCCGTCCGGCTGTACGTTTATAATTTCTATTTATACAGTCGTGCCTTGCGGCTATAATGGTAAAATATTGTATTTAAAGCTGATCGGCTATACTGTTAATATATTGTATTTAGAGAGTATAGCCGTGCGGATGTACTGTTATAATATCTATTTGTGCATGTATTAAAATAAATAAAAGGTGTGATACTAATAATAGATTTTTCTGTATTTCTCGGACCTTCTCACGTTTGGATGCCTCCTCTTTTGCAGTCCTTCCTTTATCTAGCACATCAAAATGATTGTAATGCGACTAATAAATTCATAAAGTACAAAACAAAAAGAAATTTCCAGTGGAAAAACAGATGCAACAATAACTCACCAAGTTTCTTTGCAGACTTCCCAGTTTCCCTTTCACCAGTACAACCATTGGCTGGCTCTACTTTTGCAGAATGATTAGAACCACCATGATCCTGGGAACAAAAACAAATGCAACAGCCAAAAAAAATTGAACAATAAGTTTCTAAAACAATTAGTCCAAATGAATAAAAGAGAAACTGATTGGTACTGTGGCATCCTCATACATCCGAAAACGGCTCTTCGCTTGTTTCATGTTCTTAGCAGCGATAGACTCTGCAATGTAGGCACCTTGCTTACTGGAAAGCAAGCCTTCATGAAATCTGAAACAACATAAGTGGAAAAAAAAATTAAAACAAGTCATAGAACCAAAATAAAAATTTAAGTACACTAATATATCCTAAACAAGATACGTAAATGGAGCATAGTTATCAGGAAAATTTAAATCTCCATCGATCCTGTTACAGCCCAAGAAAACTCAAAGATAAACAAACAGATTACTGACATTTTTCCAAGACCCAAAAGATGCAAAAAGGGCCATCATATTACGCAGGAGCATAGCCTAACAACAAATGATATACCTTATCTTTGCAAGCATCTAGAACAAATGAACACATCTAGAATAGAGGAGAACGGGAAGATTCAGGAACATCAAGGTTACCAAAAAAGAACAGAATTCCATTTTATTTCTGTCTTTGACCTCTCTACTGTTTTTACATGTGAATTGGTTTTTTTAAACAAACTAAATACCGAAGGATTGAACCTTCAAAACGTACGTATTGCAATTTCCAAAACAAAAAAATAAACAAATGAATAAAGATCTAAATGTTCATGTCCACTTCTTGGGATTGGTATATTTTGGATTTTATAACTGTCAAAATTGTTTAGTAATCATAGCATTAGCACTGACAAGACCTTCTTATGGAGCCATTAGCCCCTCAGTCAGCTTTGAGAAGCAGTGTTTGCATCACATTGTACCTGGGATCAAGTTTCCGCTGCCATCCCTGCAAAACATAACCAGTGATGAGATTTGTATAAGATCAGTTAATTGATGACCACACCAATGATAATATAAATTGGAGCAAATTGCCTCTCAGATTTGTATAAGATATCAGTAATTGTCTATTTCTGCTACTCATGGTAAACCTATTATATAATACAAAAAACTATCATATTTGTTTTTTCTGAGACAATTAAATTAAATTTATAAAGAGAAGAGAAAGGAGTAAAGGATATATGGCCAACAGAAAAAAGCAGAAAAACAAATAAAGAAAAGACAACTTAATAATCTACGTGTGCTTTAATTTAATGTCTTTGTGCTTATAAATTTCACATGCCTATATTGCGAAGATTACAGAATTTCATAAGAGAATTTCCATGCCTTGGCTGCAATAGATAAAGGAAAAAGAAATTACCACAAGAACCAAAGTGGTTACCATGACAGTACAGACATTGCCATCGACATTGACTCTATGACGCCTAACTGTCTCCGGTAACTGCTGCATACACTCAGCAGGCACTACAAAACAGAAGCCCTTTTGCGAGGGCATTTTGTCGTTGCAAAAGGCCTTTTGCCGTCGCAAATATCTTTTTTCGACGGCAAAAGTCCGTCGGCAGTCGTCGCTAAAAGCTCGGTTGCAAATACTTCATTTCCGACCATTCCGTCGGAAATAATGTATTTCCGACGTCCATGCTTCGTAGCTATTGCATAAATTTCTATCGGAAATGGATTTTTAAAACGACCCTACATATTTATTTCCGACCGTACATGTGGTCGTAATTACTTATTTGATTGTCGGAAATAGTTCTTTTATCTTGATTTCTTGTTTTTGTGAATTCATATTTTCAACCAATGAGTGTCGTCAGAAATACTTTTTCCGACAATGATATATTATTTGTGAGGGCTAGATGTCGTCGCAATTATCATTACCGACCAAAAGAGTTTGTGGAAAATATATAATAGCTCGTCGGAAAAGAGTATAAAAATATATTTTCGATGGGCAAGTTATGTCGGAAATATATATTTCCAACCATATTTATTCGTCGCAAAGTTTGTCGCAAATAGATTAATCCTGTCAGAAAATATTTTCGACGAACAAGTGGTCGGAAATATAATTGTTTCGACCCGATTATGTCGTGGGGAATTTTGTCGGAAATAGGCAATTATTGTCGGAAACTATTTCCGATGATAAAGTGTTCGTTGGAAATATGCATTACCGAGAGGGAAATGCGGTCGAAAAATGTAATTATTTTATAAAAAAAATTAATAAAAAGAAATTTTAATTATAATATTTGCTAGAAATAGTTTTCTAATCATCCGTATTTAATTGGTAATAATAATAAAAAAATCATACGACACCATACTGTACTAAAATTTTATGCATTCAATTAAAATTATTCTAAATAGTTAAAACATAAACAATCCCCATCATCCTTAAAACATATATGCAATCCGCAAATATATCAAAACTTTGAAATTCAAAATACATATTGTAGCAAAATACAATTGATGTTGCACTACTCGTCTTCGAGGTGAGCATCTGAACAACTTTCTACATTGTCCTGTCGAATAAAAGATAATAATTAATAAGACATAAATCATTTGAGAATAAAAATAACAAATACAATATTTAACAGTGAGCAAAATATTGAAATGAGAAAGAAAAGAGTTCACCATTAAAGCAGATTGTCTTGAGCGTGCATAAGTATTTGAGTTGTTTTCCCTCATACTTTGAACTAGATCTTTCAATTCATACAGCACACTTTTCAAGTCCTTCACTTCCTCCTTTAATTTCTCATGCTCTTCTTCACGTTCTAAGCATATACGTTTATTACAACCTTGGTCATCCGAGGGATACACATCTTTTATACTATAGCCACCACCTAAGCCAAGGATACGACCGTGACTTGGCCCACCAATAACCTCCTTGTATATATCCCAATCATCTACTTCATTCTCGTCTTCCGTTGCAGCAACCTTTTTATTCTCCATTTTTTCCTTCAATGAAATAGTTGAAATATAAACATGGATATAAAAAAAATTTCATGTGAATAAAAAATTTTAAAAAGAAAAATAAAAAGAGAAACAAAGTAGGGACAACGTACAAAAAGTTCTTTAGCCTTTTCACTTGGCCAACTTTCTTCTCCTCCACTTGCTGTAAAAAGAAGATTAGACTAAAATCAAATACATAATGTAGATTATTAAGGAGGGAAACTTGTAACAGAAGCTTCCTGAGTTCATAATATCATTGAGGAACTGCATTTTGTCTACAACCATAACACACACAGTGATGAATAAACGAAAAAAGGAGTGAATACTACACACACACACACACACACACATATATATATATATATATATCACATATTTCAATTGTGCTTGACAAAATTCAGGCTTTGAGACAAGAAAGTATTACCAGAGGACGGTGGATTGAAAAGCATTCTAATATGAAATTCTTTCTTTGCATAATCTTAGCATAAAGGAGGAATTGAAAGGGCAAATATCAAACTTGCAACTTATTTAATAAGGAACACCCAAACAAGATGAGCGCAACGGATCTCCAGAACTGTTAAGGAAAAACTAATAAGGCAAAACCTTTGAAGGTGAATTACTTGCCCATTTTTATATTTTTTTTTGGATTTGTTATGTATTCAGACCACATTCAGGTATATCAACTGATATAATTCACAAACTTCAAGACACAACAAGATACTTAAAAGACTTAAACACAATTCAATCAAAATAGTCCAAAAGCATAAATGCATTGCAAGTAACATCAAAGGTATATATATGTTACCAGGTCCAGGAGCATCTTCAAAAGTGCGTGCATCACAATGTGAGGAAGCGCAGATTGAATCCGATCATCCCCTTCAAGATCATCGACACATTCCTCTTGTTCATAAGTTTCCACCAAAACAGCAGGATCCACAAATGGGGCAGCTTCCCTTGCAATCTCAAGCTCAAATTTGCAGCTAAATTTTTTCAATTTCGGGTTTCAGACTTTCAGTCAATCGCAGTGTTAGAAAAGTCGGCCTAGGCGGTAGCTAGGCGGCTAGGCGGTCCCTAGGCGGTGGCTAGGCTGCTAGGTAGTAGCTAGGCGGGCGCCTAGGCTGGTTGGGTCTGTTTTCGGCGCCGAACCCGGAGGACGAAGCAGTGACTGCGAGAGAAAGTTCCGTCCACTGCGACTGCAAGCTTCGTGTTGGTTGGAATATATTTAAAGCGTATAGCCGTTCGGCAATACGTTTAAATTATTCGAATCTAATTAGAAAGTATAGCCGTACGGCTGTACGTCTATAATTTCTATTTATACAGTCGAGCCTTGCGGCTATAACTCTGATAACGTTGCAGAAGCCTCGGCAATGAGATTTGATATGTCCTCATTATAGAGTATAGCCGCGCGGCTATACTCTATAATCTATTTGTGCATGTAGTAAATAAATAAATAAAAGGTGTGATACTGATAATAATATCCAGGAAATAAATTATTCTTTCTTCATCTTTTTTTACCACTCCCTAAGGTTCATGGGAAGTGGCTTGTTACTTGGGCCTTAATTTTTGCTCCCACACTGATAATGTTGCAGAAGCCTCAGGAATATGATTTGATGTGAATATTTTAATAGTATAGCCGAGCGGCTATAATAGTATTAGCCCCATCTTACTGGTCAGAATATTTTAATAGTATAGCGGCAAGGCTATTCTATATAAATATTTTTGAATATTTTAACAGTATAGCCGTTCGGCTAAACTATGTGAATATTTTAATAGCGGCTATAATTTTTTTTTTTTTTTTTTTTTTTTTTTTTTTTTCTTTTGCCAGATCATAGATTCTACAAACATAGCCATGGGAAACGAAACTGCAACACGCTACTGTCAGTGAATGTTCAGAGATATCCACAATTTTTTCTCTGAAGATGTCCACTAACCGCGTGATCTGAAAATTAGAGCAGACAAACAAGATCTGGTACAAGGATGTACTAACACAATAAGATCACCTTAAACAGTGCTCATAACCGTCAAACTAGAAAAGAACTCTGTTTTGTCCCCAGAATTATCACATACAATACAACAAATATAAGGTAACATGAGACCTTAACAAATTCTTACACATTACGAATGAAGCGTTAGAAATTAATATAACATGAGACCTTAACAAATTCAAAGAAATTGCTAATCATGCACCAAGTGCATATGAACCCAATTACACTGTCAAACTTTGAGAGAGTTATGAAACTTGTTCCGTGTGAAGTGGCCGGCAACTGTGCCACAGATTATATAGGGATACAGAAATATGGCTGTAGAATTTCAAAGGTTGTATATTTCCATCATAAGTTCTTTACAATTGTACAGCAATATATAAGGAGATTGACTCCTTGATTTACGCCACAACTTGGTGGCTTAGGGAAGACAAATAACAGCTCCTTGAATTAAGGAGTTGACAACACAAAGATATACTAATCACAAGAGACCCGGACTCTTAACCACCTAGGGAACAAACAATACCCAGAAGGAACATAGATGAGTAGTTGACCTATCCCCTTATTGTCCAGTGTTACCGTAAGCCAACCTAATATTCAGGAAATCCTGATGACCACTGGACTAATCATCGGACTAACATCCAATAATGGCAAACCACAAGCGAAAGAGGGATAGGAATTAAAAGAAATATGAACCTGAAGAAATGGAGAAACAATATCTCTATTGTAAGTTAGCTCGTCCAGAATTATCTCCACCACAGGAGTTCTGCACCAAATACAAAAAGTGCATGTATTTTCAACAAATAGAATACGGTACATGAGAGAGAGAGAGAGAGAGATAACTTTAACTCTCACCATCAGCTCTGGTAGTAGAACCTTGCATATCTGCAGCACTCGTCTTGACACGTCAAGCTCCATTATCTGAAAAGGACCGAAATCAGTGCCAGTGCATAAACTGATTCTACAAATATTAGGGGCTCACCATGCAGGTATGCTTTCCTACCTCAAGTAAAGAAATTGCTGCAGCAGTATCAAAATTTTCAGCTGGTTATTGTGCCGTAGAATTCTTTGAACATATCATTTAATCGGTGCATCCAGCATAGGTTTGATACAGTTTACACATAATGGTCAAAAGAAATCCTTCATCAAGCTCTAGTAGTTTACTTTTCTCGACACGTACAAAAGGTAACTTAAATTTGAGGGCAAGAGTAGTGGTATAAAAATCACTTAATAACCAGTGGACAACAGGCTCTTCAGTATTCATGGTTTGAAAGAGAAGGGGAACACCAGAAGCATGTTGAGTAAAGAATCTCTCAGAACTACCCATTTCATGGTATCTGCATATACTTAGATATCAATTTAACTTCATAGACACTGTTGCGTGGTCGAAAATCTCCTTTAAAAACATGAACTAGGTATTGAAACGATAAAACGTTTCCTAAGGACTGCAACAAAAGAAGATCAAGTAAGACAAAAAAATATGGGGAAATTCACATTACCATTTTATTTCTTTTATTCCATCAAACAAAGATCATGAAAGAAGGTGATGAACATGTGGGATTTGCTTTGAAGTCTAAAACCCATATGATTGAATTGGTTTCTCCAAGTATTTTGGATAAAATTATACCGTAACGTTGGCCTTACGAACGATGATGTGGTATGATAACCCCATATAAGTTTAGGGCTTAAAAATCTTGTTCACATGATGACACACAACATAGGCAGAGGAAATTTTGCAACTATAACAGTCATTGAAACCATTAAATTAAGTAGCCTCGAGATCTGCAGAGAGGATAGGATTTCCATCAAGGTCTTCTGAGACAGAAATCATAAATGCCGCTACACGCATGTACCCTGTTTTACATCCCTCAAATCTCTCATAATCAATGAGTATTGCAATCTTGAAAGAGAGAACATGCTACTAGCTATATAAACTTCATGTTCTACAACAGTAGCTCCCATGGCAACAATCAAATAACACATGTGCTGACGGATACCCAAAATGATCAATCTCCATATTATATGTTGAAACTAGCAATTTAATATCTATAAAGTATAAACTAATGCAACTAGGAAAGTCCTTTTCTCTTAAAATAGCATAGCCGTGCGGCTATACTATAGTTTTTTCTTAAAATAGCATAGCCGCGGGCCATACTTATTTTGACACGTGAGCCCCAGAGTCTTTTTTTTAAAAAAAAAATCGTATAGCCGTGCGGCTATACTGATTTTGACGTGTGGGAGCCTAATCGCAAATTTTTTTAATCGTATAGCCGCTCCACTATACTCGGTTTTTTATTTTTTCATGAAAATCCTATGGCCGCCCTGCTGTACTTGGTTTTTAAATGTTTTTTAAATAGTACAGCCCCGCGGCTACACTTATATTGACACATCAACGGTCCTCTTTTTAAAAATAGTATAGCTGCGTGGCGATAATCGGTATTTTTTATTTTAAAAATAATATAGTTGCGCGGCCATAATTATTTTGACACGTGATTTCTAACAGTCCTGTCTCTGGACTAAAACCAGTGAGTATTTTTGTGCCTTACGATGTAACTAAAAACACTAATCACAATCACATCATTGAGTCTTAATGAGTCTTATTTACACAAGGAACCATTGGGTAAACACGTAGTACTTCTAGACCTCTTATTTACTCTTGCTTGCCTCCAGAAGAGCAACTTTCGAATGAGCTCCAGATATGGATAAATTTAATCCCTCCAAAGCTGCTCCATCAAACCTGCAAGAGCAGTTTCCCATGCCAAATACATATACATATATATATATATATCAGTATATCAATTAAAATGTTAAAGACATACCTTAAGAACATTATCAATATTAGCATCACTAGCATGGCAAGCTATTCTCAGCTTCCTTTCCATGCTTTGTATACCATTTGAACATTGCAACTCTGCCTCCATATATGCATTCCTTTTACAATCCTGCATGAGTAGCCAATTTAAACGAATAAGGCCAGTATACAAGAGATGAGCTAATAAGATATACATATCCATATATACTGCAACAAACTATTTGTTATCACAAAGAATTCAATTATATATGAGGCAACAACAAGATTCTTATCTTTTTCTTCGGGATTTTTGGGACGGTGAAAAGCAGACTTATACACCTCAAGAGCATAATCATATGCTGTTCAGACACCCATCTTCTTCGACACTCTGCAGAGTAAGATTAACACATCTACTCTCTTCAGATAAGACACAGGGCAACATATATTATTTATGTAACCTCAATGAAACGGCACAAAGAAGCTAACCAAGACAAAAATTTATATAGCACGCATCCAATTCCAGTTGGTTGGTCAACTGCATTAGAAAAACTTAGCCTTCAAGTTCAACACAAACAAATATCAATAAAGAGAGTAACAGATTTGAGTTCATGACCTACAAGAGATAGATCAAAGACAACAGTGAGTCACCGACCTGAATTTCGTTAATTCTCTGTAGATCATGTTCGTTGTTCAACGGCTGTACAAGCATTCTCTATCTGAAAATAGAGCTCGAATGGAGGCTCGTATCTATATTGGCCATTCATACTGTACAATTAGCGCCTCCAAGTCCAACATACGTTATACATAGAGAACATAATTCAAGAGTAGCAGTGCTCAATGTGCCTAGAATGTCATAAATAGCTAACAAGCGTAACCTAAAAGCAGATAATGCCAGTTTAACAGTACATGTATGAATTGGCAAGCAAATTCTTGAAAATAAAAGGTCAAGATTTCTCTCTCTCTCTCTCTCTCTCTCTCTCTCTCTCTCTCTCTCTCTCTCTCTCTCTTATGAGGAATGCGGCAAACAAAAATTGTACTAACATTCTCCACCTAAAACACAGGCAGTGAGGTACAAGCATAAATGCCATTTGCATATTAAAGAATAAGCAAAGCAAGAGAAGCTAAACGCATGCCATTCACAGAAATGTTTAAACTTCAGAATCAATTTGAATTCAAGTAGCCTAACGCATGCCATTCACAGAACCTTGTTATTGGCAAGACCATAGAAACTCCATGATAGGACAACTTCTTCATCATTTCCATCCACAGAAGACAGACACCAAGTCAGATAATTTTGTATTTTTTTCTTCTGCGCCATGTCGTCAGTGCAAAGAGAGAAGAATATAAGGCGCGAAACAGGGAGAGGAATGGAAATTGGAATTAGATGAATTAAGAGTCTCATGATCTCTTCTTCTATGGACCTGACTTGTGCTTCACTGCTTCGGCTTCCCAATCTCAAATTTGCAGCTAAGTTTTTTCAAATTCGGGTTTTAGACTTCCAGTCAATCGCAGTGTTCGAAAAGTCAAACTAGGCGGGCGGCTAGGCGGCTAGGTTGGAGCTAGGCTGCTAGGCTGGCGCTAGGCGGTGGCTAGGCGGGCGCTAGGCGGCTAGGCGGGCGCTAGGCGGCTAGGATGCTAGGCGGTGGCTAGGAGGCTAGGTAGTAGCTAGGCGGGTTGGGTCTTTTTTCGGTGCCGAACTCGGAGGAAGAAGCAGTGACTGCGAGAGAAAGTTCCGTCCTCTGCGAGTTCAAGCTTCGTGGTCGTTCGAATATATTTAAAGAGTATAGCCGCGCGGCTCTACCTTTAAAATATTCGAATGTAATTTGAATGTATAGCCGTGCGGCTGTACGGTTATAATTTCTATTTAATGTGGATGATACGTCTTCTTTTGTATGATACGTTTCCATTATAGCCGCAAGGCTCGACTCTATGTGAGAGTTGGGTTTTGGCATGGGAGGCAACACTTTCCATTTCATTTCACTATCCAGCATATAAGCATCCCCGTAAACCACCTGAAAACAGAACAACTGAGGCTATAAGAGACCATGTGAATAATTATTGCCACTTCTTCTGTTCATCATGCCAAAGTAACTGTGGCTATGGTGACTAAGTACAATCGGAGATTGTGTTCTAACGAAAACACAACAATACCTCATGCCTACGAGAACATTTGAAAATTGGTGACCCAGGCTTGGGCATAAAATCACCCTCTTGACCACCAATAAGAAAGAGGCGATCACTCATCACAACACAAGCCCTGTTAGAAGATTGACCCTCACGGTGAGAAAACATTAAAATAAACCCACAGGATTTCAAGTTGCTGAGAGGAAATTTTTCAAGTGAATGAAATTGATGGTAAGACAAACAAACCTATGTGGTCCCCCACGGGGAATGGGTGCTTCTTTCCGCCACTCTTTCTCCAATGCTTTGCCATCCTTCACAGCAATACTCCAGTGATCCACACTAGGCGTATGGCGGTTTTCTTTGCTGCCACCCATCACATGGAGTCTGCCTCTCCACAATTGAGTTGCTGGAGCATACCTGCAAATTATCATGTTAAATCCTATCATCTAATATAGCTGTCAAATTTATGGATTACTTCACATAAATTTCAGCCACTAATATAACTCTAATGGAACTTCATTAGATCAACAGTTTGAGAGTCAAAGGAAGAGCATTCTTGACTCTACTCTTAACTCTTTTAAGCACGTCAAAGAAAAGATTTGTTTCTTTCCCAACTTTTACAGCTACCAACAGTAGTGCACAAGGAATAACGTCAATAAGAAAATAGCAATTTCTGGAGTTTACATGGTCTGCAAAGTTATTTGATAGAAGGTAACCATGCAGATAAGAGAAGATATCATCGGACTCAGTAAACCAAGTTAAGGACTAGCATGTTAAGAGTAGATTGAGTAAAGAAAGATGAAGCAAGAGGTATAATGTATTTGTACAGTGTAACATGCAACACGAATAACACAAAACCTAAAAGCAGATAACATAATTCAAGAGTAGCAGTGCTCAATGTGCCTAGAATGTCATAAATAGCTAACAAGAGTATCCTAAAAGCAGATAATGCCAGTTTAACAGTACATGTATGAATTGGCAAGCAAATTCTTGAAAATAAAAGGTCAAGATTTCTCTCTCTCTCTCTCTCTCTCTCTCTCTCTCTCTCTCTCTCTCTCTCCTCTCTCTCTCTCTCTCTCTCTCTGCGGCAAACAAAAATTGTACTAACATTCTCCACCTAAAACACAGGCAGTGAGGTACAAGCATAAATCCCATTTGCATATTAAAGAATAAGCAAAGCAAGAGAAGCTAAACGCATGCCATTCACAGAAATGTTTAAACTTCAGAATCAATTTGAATTCAAGTAGCCTAACGCATGCCATTCACAGGACCTTGTTATTGGCAAGACCATAGAAACTCCATGATAGGACAACTTCTTCATCATTTCCATCCACAGAAGACAGACACCAAGTCAGCAAATTTTGTATTTTTTTCTTCTGCGCCATGTCGTCAGTGCAAAGAGAGAAGAATATAAGGCGCAAAACAGGGAGAGGAATGGAAATTGGAATTAGATGAATTAAGAGTCTCATGATCTCTTCTTCTATGGACCTGACTTGTGCTTCACTGCTTCGGCTTCCCAATCTCAAATTTGCAGCTAAGTTTTTTCAAATTCAGGTTTTAGACTTCCAGTCAATCGCAGTGTTCGAAAAGTCGAACTAGGCGGGCGGCTAGGCGGCTAGGCTGGAGCTAGGCTGCTAGGCTGGCGCTAGGCGGTGGCTAGGCGGTGGCTAGGCGGGCGCTAGGCGGCTAGGCGGGCCCTAGGCGGCTAGGCGGTCGCTAGGCGGGCGCTAGGCGGTTAGGCGGCTAGGCGGTGGCTAGGAAGCTAGGTAGTAGCTAGGCGGGCGCCTAGGCGGGTTGGGTCTTTTTTCGGTGCCGAACTCGGAGGAAGAAGCAGTGACTGCGAGAGAAAGTTCCGTCCTCTGCGAGTTCAAGCTTCGTGTTCGTTCGAATATATTTAAAGAGTATAGCCGTGCGGCTGTACTGTTAAAATATTCGAATGTGAGTAGAACGTATAGCCGTGCGGCTGTATGTTTATAATTTCTATTTATAGAGTCAAACCTTGCGGCTAGGATGGAAACGTATCATACATGGTCATTTCAGAATCCTCATGGTGGTTTGGGACTATTAAGCATATCTTATTACATGGGCTTCTTCTTGTTCTAGCAATAGTATGCTGATAATATTGCAGAAGCCTCAGGAATATGATTTGATGTGGTAGAAATAGACCAGCTTGACCAAATGAGAGTACAGTATGCTGATTATTTGCTGATATGCTCTACGTTTTACTTGTTTGGCAGATTTGGGACCGAAGGTTGATGTTGATGTTTTTTGTTTTCTTGACCTTGCTTCAAATTATGAACCCCCAGATTCACTTGCGGAAGTGGCTTGAAGCTGGTGAACAGCCTGTCCATATTGGATTTGTAGCCTTGTGAGTTTGTTGCAGCTTTCTCTATTCATGTTTAATATTATTTTCCCAGTTCTATCCCAGAGTAGCTTTGTTTGTCCTTACCCTAAAAACCATTACTTGTTCCTTCCCAATTAAAACAATCAACCAAAGCCACAATCTCCAAAGAGTGACCACCTTCATGTTGGTCCCCAACGAACAGGTTGTGGAGGTCTATTCATGACAGATGACAAATCGACCCTTTGGTTGTTCGTTGTTCAATATCTAATTTGACTGAGGCATGTCTAATACATGCAGAGTATACCTCTGAATTGCATAGTTAAGGTTACTTGATTGTGCATTTGATTGAAATGCTAAATTGTCTTGCTTGCTAAATTGTTTTTATCTGTATTGTATTAGCCTCTTGAAGAACCAGAGAACATGACCAATATTATTCTTCAAGCTCTGGAAATAACTGGACAGAGAGGCGTCATCAACCGAGGCTGGGGTGGCCTTTGTATTGTATTAGCCTCTTGAAGAACCAGAGAAAATGACCAATATTATTCTTCAAGCTCTGGAAATAACCAGACAAAGAGGCGTCATCAACCGAGGCTGGGGTGGCCTTGGTAATTGTAAGTCTTGATTCTTAAAAAAAGATTACTTTCAAGCACATTGTATTCTTATGCTTCTTTACATCTGAAAGCCTTCATATATTTCTCTTCTCAGTGGCATAACCAAGTGATTCTGTGTATTTAGTGGACAATTGCCCCCATGATTGGCTATTCCCACCCTTTTAATTCTTTTTAATTTGGTTGGGATTTCACTGCACTGGTGTTCAGAACGTCACATGAACTTGATGCACCTTTTTGTTGTTTTGTTGTTTTGTTGTTTTGTTCCCCTATTGGATAACTAGGCTACTCCTGGTTTCTCACCGGATTTGAAAAAATTTCTTAGGTGCATCATGGGGTTGCTGGGACAACTGCTGCTGGTCTGAAAGCTACGGTAACCGATAATGCTATATTCTTGGGGAGTCTTACATTTGTAAATGATCCAGTTACTCATTTTTGGCTCATATTCTCTGTTCTTTTTAGTGTCCAACCACAATTGTACCATTCTTTGGGGACCAGCCATTTTGGGGGGAGAGGGTGCATGCCATAGGAGTAGGTCCTGCACCGATGAATTCTCGCTTGAAAAGTTGGTCGATGCCATATGCTTCATGTTAGATCCAAAGATATTTACCATTTTCTTTTTAAACTTCCAAGTGATTTACATATAATTTGCCATTTCTTGGGTGTAAACTTATCACACATGCATACGCGCTGATTTAATTGAAGTTGACATTGTTTTGTGATCAATTTCAACATGCAAATAGTTGTCACAACTCTCGGGTTATTTTCTGTTATTTCAATCCCTTGCGTGGGCCGGAATAGATTAAATTAACAAAGAAATAATTATTTTCTGTTGAAAGGTTAAAGCATTCAACAGTTGACTTAAAACCCATGCTTTCATAGTCAATGATTTTATGAGTCTCAGAAAATCTGCTGTCGAATTCACCCTGCACCCTATAGAATTTGGAACCAACAATCATTTGCCTACCTGGCCTCTTGCCCTTCGACCGCCCAAGTCCCATCCAATCATTGTCGTCCGAAACCCTAATATCGTCAAATACAGTTTCAAACCTAGGAGCCTTGCCAGAGCTCCTTTTGCACAAGTTACTAATATTTAGACGGCATAGCTTTTCCTCCTTGCCTTCAAGTTTCAGGTACAAATACCAATCCTTGTCCGGGGGCGGTGGTTTGATTGTAGTTTTCAAATTTTCACTTTCTTCAGTTTTAACGACAAAAATCTCACGCTCCGAAAAGAAATAACAACATAGTTGTTGACTAATACTTAGACGACGTACGAAAGCAACTCATTCTTCAGCATTGCCTTCAATATATTACAGCTCCCTTTGACAGACACAGTTGCATAACTTTTGTAAGGATCAAAATATCAAAATGAAAGCAACCGAAGAAAACAAAAACGAAAACAGTACATATAGGCATAGGCAGAAAGAATAGGGATGGTCAAAACATACAAACAAATAAAACAACAACAACAACAACTACAACAAATAGGCAGAGAGAATAGAAATCTTTTGGTTAGAATTTAGTACTTACTGTTCAACCCTTGTAGTCGTCACTCGTCAGAGAGGGGGAAGCCGAAATAGAGAGTAGGATATTGCACAGAGTTAAAAGAAGAAGAGAGCCCTAACCAAGACCAAAACGTTGTCTTCTTAATGAACTCCATTTGTGTCAAAGGACCGAAATGCCCTTAGCTTTTTGTTTAGATAGACTCCTACATCGTTGAAATGGATTTGGGTTGCATTTCGGGCTGGCCCTGACCTCTCGGCCCATAAAATTTGTACTGTGCTTGGAGCTGACTTTTGTCACAAATTATTCCTTTTTTGGGTGTGTATATAAATACGGACGTAAAATGAATAATCTGCAAATTATTATTCACCACAGAGAATTACCAAGAAGACGACCAACACCAAGAACTCACTGCAATTTGCGAAGAGAGGAAATGGAGAGTAGTGTCACCGGCGGTGAGTATACCGGAGCCAACATAAGCCTCAGCGTGAAGTTCAGTGGCAGAACCATACCCATCACAAATCTTTCTCCGGACTCAACCATCAAAGACCTCAAGTCCCTTCTGCAACCTCTCACCAATGTCCTCCCTCGTGGCCAAAAGCTCATTTGCAAAGGTGTCTCCTTTTTCTCCTCTGTAAAATTTGATTGAATTTCTCTGAGCTGTAATGAATTATGAATGGCAAGTTTTTCATTTTCAGTTTTATTTTAATTTTTGGGTTCTGGGTATTTTGTGATAGGGAAGCTTTTGGTGGATGGAATGACACTGAAGGAGTCTGAGGTCTCTAATGGGTCCAGGATCATGCTCATGGCTTCTCAGGGCTTGCATCAAGGGGTATTGTAGATAAAACTCAATTCTTTTCTATCCTTTTGCTTTCTTGAAATCTGAACTTGAATTGGGAATTTTATTTTGATGGAGATGGAAGGACCCACTTGTTTGGTAGTTGAGAAAATAAATAAGAAGAAAGCAATTTTATCAAACAAAGATCTTTAATTTATTTTTTTCTCGAGTAAAAATGTTGGTCATAAATTTCATGAACCTTTGGATTATAGTAACTGTGGAGATTTATGTGTTTTTGGAAGTGTTGAGTTATAGAAAATGCGTAATTGATAATGTAGTACTTCTGGAATTTTTGTTTGAATAGGACGGGCCCATCCTAAAACAAGCTCCCACACGCCCCATTTCCAGAGCCAACAATGCTACGACATTGGGAAAAGAAAAGACAGAAGTTTCTGTTGATAAGAAGCGGTTGGATCGATGGAAAGCTACTGGGGTTATTGGACTCCGTGACTACAACTTGAGGGTATAAGAAACTAGTCTTTGGTTATTGTCCCTTTTTGGACTGTTTGCATTTTTCTAATCACATTTTACATTATGGATATCTATATGTAACGTCTGTTTGGCTTGGTAGACAAGTTTTGAGGTTGTTAACAGAAGTAGTATGCCTTGCAGAATTGTTTTTCCTTCAGACAATTAATTGGGACTTAGAATCATAACACATGGGAATCTCTTAGCAGGGGAATGTCGATTTTGATAATTGTTTCCAAGTAATATTTTAGAGGACCTAACGTTTTCCAATGTTGAAAATTTGTGTTGGTTTAATTTGAAAAGGCTATACCCGATGAAGTGTGGGCTTGTGGAGCTTCTGCAAGAGTCATTGAGCTCAGCAATAATGCTATTCCAGTGGTACCTGCCAAGATTGGCTGTCTAAGTTCCTTGCAGGTATACAAAGCTCTGTTTCTTTCTTGCATTTCCGCTCCAGCTTCATCAAATTCTTGCCATAACTTATGCGTAGTTTCACTTCATTCTCTACATTTTGTAGAAATTGTTCCTCTCTGCAAATGATATATTGGACAATTCTATTAACTGGGAAGCTCTAGTATCTTTGAAGTTTCTAACTGTTCTGTCTCTGGACCAAAACCAGTGAGTATCTTTTGTGCTTTACGATGTCACATTAAATTGGGGTGGCTTTCATTTTCTACTTCTTGACATTATGTTGGATGCTTGATGAATTGCACAATTTATGCAGTTTAACGACTTTGCCACCTGCATTGGGCTTGTTGACATCATTGAAGCAATTTCACGTTGCAAACAACAAATTGTCTAGCCTCCCAAATGAAATAGGACTTTTGACTAAGCTTGAAGTTCTGAAAGTCAACAATAACAGGTGATTTTGAAAGTACTTCAAGCAAGGACATGTTTTTTCTTATTGGGAATTACAGAATCAAAATCTGTTTTTTTTTTCTTCCCTTGCATGTCTTTTCTTCTTAATGTGGTATGATCATTTTAAATTTTATATATTTCACATTGTGGACGTGCAGCTGCACTTAATATTTCACATCTACTTTTCTTTCCTCTAAATGCTTTTATGTGTTAAATACAGAAACTAAAATATTTAGTTTCAGTGGAAATTTTGATTTTTTTAAAACATGTTTTGTAGGTTGTTAAGTTTTTCCCCTTCATGCATTAATGCTATGTTGATGAAGTAACTACTTCTTAAATATGCAAGTTATGTTTGATAACCAATGGCTTGTGTCTTGATTAAACTTACCCGTCTGTCTCTGTGTCCAGGATAAGCACCATGCCTACGTGCATAGGGGACTGTATTGGTCTTATTGAGGTAGTTGTTTTTTTTTTTTTTTTTTTTTTTTCATTTTGGGTAGATTTGTCCATTTATCTGACTTGCTTTTGGCATGGTGCAGATTGATGTTTCATCAAATCTTCTATCCGAGTTGCCCGAGACATTTGGCAATTTGCATAATCTAAAGGTCTATACTAATTCCTAGTGTTTTGAACTTATTATCCCTATTTCTTTCTTGTTTTCCTTCAAAAATTCAAATTCTCTTTAAACGTTTAAGAGCTTCCCTTCTTGACCCCCTGAGAGAGAGAGAGAGAGAGAGAGAGAGAGAGAGAGAGAGCTTCCTTTGTTTTGATATGGAACTGTAATTTGTAGGGTGGTTCTAGAGAGGTTACACAGTTTACGTTTCCCGTAATAAAATATATTTTCCATTTTTTTTCAAAGATAAATTTTCATTGTGTTGTTAGGGTTGTCTTATCCACGTAGGAAATAAGAGTTTATTCATATTGCAACTGCTTTCACTGCTCATCCTGTTGATGTCTGCCATTGTCTTTGTACCCCAAGCATCCGCCTATTCCTTTTCCCTGTACCTGGCCTAAACCCTAATGGTTACTGTATCGTGCCATCCTAAACTTTGACTCTTTCTACTGCTCACACACAAAAAAGTTTTGAAATTTAGTAAACTTTTACTTGAAGGTGGTAAAAATATCATTTTAGAATTTTCTTGAGCTCTTTTAGAGGAATTGCAGCAACCTCATCTATTTTGTGCTTCATCTCCAGGCTGATATTCATTCCAAAACTTTTACTTTTGTGCAGTCTGTGTGTCTCAGCAACAATGGGTTGAAATCCCTTCCTTCTACGCTATTCAAAAAGTGCCTACAGCTCACAACACTTGATTTGCACAACACGGAGATAACCATGGATGTTCTTCGTCAGGTGTGTACTTTAGCATCAAATGTCATTGTGCCAAGTAGTCTAATTTGTTAATTTTAATGATATAACAGCAATATCTTCACAGACGGAAGGATGGGAAAGTTTTGATGAACGCCGTCGCTTGAAGCATCAGAAGCAACTGGACTTCCGAGTTGTGAACTCCGGTGCATTTGATGAAGGTGCTGATAAGAGCTGATGCCACACATTTCTGGATTACATGAGGCAGTTGGACAAATTTGTGGTCCATGCTGACATTTGTATGTAGAAGAACCAATGTAAAGCTTTGATGTCTCTGGTACTTGAATTGTTAATAGGATTTTATATAAATCAAAGAAATTGGTGTCATTGATACATGAGAAGTTACTGTGAGAACAATTATGGAGCAAGAGATGACCAGTTTTAATTGTCCTGTGATTATAATGCTGATGTCTATGTTTCTGAACAACCATGTTCCTTCCAAGTGAGACTGCCTTTGGGACCTTACAATGAAAGGCAGCAGTGTAATAAGCATATATGAAAGAAATGGTGAAGATGAAAGACTTTGTTTAGCTGTTGTGTGGTGTGGGCTTCCTTTTATTTTTGTAAGTATGTGGTTTACAGCTGATAGTCTAAATTACTTCAACAACTGATGATTATTTTTTTAAAGTAAGAAAGAGGATGAATGATGAAATCGGAAAAATAAATGCGAGGTAGGTAAAAAATATATTTAAAACGGTCAACAATCAAAATGATCTACAAGCAGTTATACCACATCGTTTTACAGAAGTAGAAAAAATTACCTGCACCGGGTTCAACAGAGTGGTATTCCATTGCATGAATGTTTCATTTATTGACAGTATATAGTTTTTACTGTTTAAATTGGTGGCAAGGGTACAGGCAAAAACCCAAGAAGGTGACACTCAAACATCAACTGTCGCAAAAGATTATCTGGAAATCCGGCCAGCAAATTACAAGCAAATTTATTATTAAATGGGATTTACTTTTAGAGATTATACATGTAGAGCATGAGACAGTTGGGATAAAAATGTTCAACTGTGTGCTCATCATTGATTAACACAGGAATGAAAGTCTGAGGTCAAATATCCTAAACACGCATGAGTTCTCTTCCTAAAATCACAGACCGACACTCTCGCCGGATTCAAGAACACAACCTAACGGAAGTAAATGGATACCAGAGGGATGTCAATATCGTTATCCTCTTCATCCTCACAAGCGACAACAACATCAAAGTGGTGACGATAAGGAGGCAGTTCCGCCCCTGCCACTTCCCTAACCAGATCAACCATCTTCCTGTCCATTCGGTCTTGGTGTCGAGAAAACAAGGTATTATAAAGCAGGCAACTTTCAAATGAGATGCTATAAGCCTTCAGTCCTTTGTCCTCTAGCCACTGAATAAGTTCCCTCAGAGTAGGATTGCCTCTCAGGATCCACCTATCCCAGATGGTCCAGCTCATGTCACGGTGCTTGATGACCTTGGGTGGAACTGGCTCAGCCATGGAGAACAAAGGTAGAGCTAGATTTGCAAATGTGTTTCTATAGTCTTCTAGCTTGTGGCCTCCATCCAAAACCTTGTAAAGCTCCAAGCACACAAGTCCTGTGGCCATTGCTGTGGTGGTTGCAATTGCAGGGATAATCCTACCGGCAATAAACTTGGCTTTCAGCTTGTCAACCTCAGGAATGCTGTAATTCCTAGCCCGCATATTGGCAAGCCCGGTTATCAGATCCATATGGTAATTTGTATCATCATCCTGCAAATTCCCCAAGCTAAGTGTAAAAAAGCTAAGGTGATTGGCAACTTGTAGGACAGAACGAAACAATGAACTCCAAGTGAAGGCATGAATTAGAATTAAAATTTGAAGAATGACACATCCCACATCTAAGTTTAGCCCATCCCCACTCTAGGTCGCATAAAGAAACTTCCCCATGCATCACTCAAAACCATCAACCACCATTAACACTTATTACCTCAACCAATTATCAGAGTGATCGAAATCAATCAACTTCACCATAGAATATATGAGTGTCTAAATGAAGGATAGGTCAGAAAATATATGTACGGAGAGAGAAAGAGAGAGAGAGATTGACCTTCTCAAATTGAATTGGTTTCATTCTGAACCCTGGTGGGAGTTTCTCTCGACAATGCTCTAACTTGATAATCAATTCATTAATGACCTGTGCATCATCTATAGATTGAGAAGTTAAATTGGTAGCCTCATCATCAGTAACTATTTTCGCATCTTTCTTAGGCTGAAATTCTGAGACTTCCACTTTCTCAACAGCTTCAGCCACCTTCTTAGTGTTTCTAACCCAATCAGGGATTGGAATCCCAAATGTCTCTGCCCTTAGTATGGCAGCTGCTATAACAAAATGAAGGTGACCAGGATCAGCAGCTGAGAACTGCAGTGGATGGGGGAATCGCTTAGGGGCGGACCAGAATGGAGCCCCAGTACTAGTTGTTGCATCTTCAGGAAAAGTATAAATAAGTTGTTTCACGCGGTTGGAAAAATAATCTTCAAACCTGTGTACATCAAAAGCTGGCATCATGAATTATCGAAACAAACCATCACAATAATTAATGATTACAGAGAGGAGGGGCAAAAGGAAAAAATGTATAATAGTCTAATATCTAAGGACTTACTTCAGGCGTGCCCAGCCAATGCAATCTTGGAATGTCTCACATCTTTCTCTATCAAGGCACTCAAGAACACGCTCTAAGGTATCCCTGGCCTGTGCGTCGCCAGCATTCCTCATGTTAGTGACATATTCACTTGGCTTGGATAAATATGCATTCACTTCAGCTGGAGTTTTCTCAAGCAAACCCTCAAACTCAGATCGAGCCCATGTCAAGCAGTGGTCAATGTTGTGTGGAAATGAGTGCACAGTGCACATGGGTGCTTGTTTCTCCGGCGGGTCTCTTGATGCACCATAGTTTTCTGTTAGGTGAGGAATAACCATCTGAGTGTTGCATTTTGTGCCAAGAGTACCCGACTCAAGAAGTGCTTTCTGAAAATACAAGCACCTCTGATCAACATACAGCCTCGCATTGACATTGTCTAGCGCATTAATAACAACACTTAAATTCTCCCAGAAGGTATCATCAAACACATTCTCAGTTTCAGGGCCAACTCTATTCTGCAAGGCTTCAACATTAAGACGCGGATTTATTGATGCAGCCGCAGAAGCAGCAACTATTGATTTGGCCTGCCCAATGTTCCAATCACGGAAGAGGAACTGCCTACTGAGGTTACTCTTCTCAATTACATCATCATCGGTGACTGTTAGCTTCCCATGGTTGCTACATGAAACTCCCATCAGGGCCAAATTTTTTAATAACTCACATCCTAGTGCCCCTGAGCCAACAAGAAATACTTTGGAATCTTCCAGTTTCTTCTGTAGCTTGGACCCAAAAACTGAAATCTGTGCATCATAACGGCTTTTTAATGGTTTCAAATCACTGGACTGCAGTGGCTCTGTAGGAAGTGATTCTACGGAGTCAAAGTAGAAGAACTGTTGGAACAAGTTAAACATTAGGTTACTACCAGCAGTGAAAAATAACATGGCACTAAATAATTCTTAGCTCCTAAAGAATGGTTAACTTCTACGTGAAACCAAGATTGTGTACTGACCTGGAAGAGTGGATGAAACTTCCCAGAGCAAGCTTTTACAACCTCTTGACCCACAATACCACCAAACATGGCAGCCATGGGGTTTAGTACCGCCTTTGCACCAAAAGCAAAGTGCCGCAAAAGTTTTGGATTAATATCTTCCAGTCTCCCATCTCCCAGTTTCTCATTAATGTTACTAGCAATAGATATAAGCTTCTGAGCATCCTCTTCTGAACCAGGAATAGGGAAGCCCCCTGACTCTGACACGAATTTGTCCAGCGCTTGAAATGCCAAGTGTAGGAGAGGTGGGCGATCAAACTTGGAGAAATCACTGAGAAGAAAATCGCCAGGATCATTGAGTGCTTCTCTCAACGGCTTAAAGTTCAAGACTTTGGGCTGCTTCACCTGTGTGACAATACCCCCCTTCTCATAGGTACCAAAACCCGTGGTATCCTCCTCGAGAGTAAATGAATAAGCCCTAGCATTCTTTATCTTCCTTGGCTTTCCATCATTTAGTTCTGTCATTCCATGAACTTCTGAGAACACAACAAGATCCCCATCCTGAAACTCAAGTCTTTCATCGTCAACACATGACACTAGAGCAGGGTTGTCATTGCTTATGGATGCAATAATACCAGTGTGTGGATCCTCCCCATCAACATCAAAAACAGTGAACTCGGGTCCAAAGTCACAGAACACAGAACCAAAGAGGCCTCTAGCTTCGGTTTTAATGAAGGCGATTGGAGGTTGATGATTATGACAATAATCATTGAATTCAATGGCTTTCTCAAGACTGATGTCAGTGAATACAACAGCCTACAACAACAGAAAATAAGTATATGCCTGTACAAACCCAAATAAAACTACCACACTAGAAAAAATACACTCGTGAATTTTAAATCCTTCTGCAAAATAGATAATTACTTGTGGGATTCACAATTTTGAATATCTAACACTTGTTTGATAACTAGAACATAAATTGCAATTTCTACAGAGCTAATACAACCATTTGTAATAGATATTTAGGAAAATCATCAGAACTAGATTACTTTAAAATGCTACCAACAGAAGCAAAAATAGTTCACTATCAAAACCCAACAGAAGCAAGGTATTTAGAGACTCTTGGCTGGTGTATTCTAGTATAAATAGGCTATTTAGAGACTCTTGTATTTAGTTTTTGTTGATGAATATAATTTCAGACGTTAGTCTATAGAGTTTCTATTGGGATTTTGCCCTAGAACTCAATTATCTTCGTTCCAACTTCAATTCTACTGCTTTATCCTTCTATTCTCTGTATTTTGGGTATGTTTGGGTCGCTGGACAGCAGTTGATAGCCGCTGCCCTGCATCAAATTGGTATTAGAGCCTAGGTTAATCCTTGCTCCACACCATGGTTGGACGTGCTAGAGGTCGTGGACAAGGGAACCAAGCCCAACACACAGAGATGGCTGAGATGTGGCGTATGATGGAAGACTTGTCGAGAGCGGTGCAAGCCCTCCAACAACAGGAATGCACGGATGCCTATATGGAAATTCCGGAACGCAACCGCGGACCCTTACACATACCGGAAGGTGGTGGTGAGGATGAATATG